AAATATAAATTATTTTTAATTGAATCTCACCCTCTAATAAAATAGTTATCTACTGTTTAACTAACTCTATTTTTTTATATTTATCCCTATAAACTATTCCACAATAAATATAAAGTCATTAATTAATAGGGGCACTTTTTAAAAAAGAGCAATAGTTACACCTTAAAAGACTTTAAAAATACATTTTTAAATATTTAATTTTTTTAAAAAATTTCTTATATTTTTAAATGAAGGGAGTATAAGATATCAATCCACGTGCAAAATTGTTGTCTAAAAATCACATATAAATTATTAAAATTTAGAGAGAATGACAATTAATGACCTTCTAAGAACATTAATCCCAATTACGAATCATAAAATTTAAAATTTCAATTAAGGACCATGATAAAAAAATGTAATTTATGAGGTGGGATTCACTAACGCGACTTGAGTATTCACTAACTCAACTTGAGAAAATTGCTAACGTATATTGTGAAAATATAAAACCCCACTTGAAAATGAATTATTTAACAAAAAGCTCTACTTAAAAATTCACTAACCCGACTTAAAAAAATTTATAATGTATATTGTGAGAATATAAAATTTCACTTGAGAATCGAATATTTAACGAAAAACGCCACTTGAAAACTCACTAACTCGACTTTAGAAAATTTCTAACGTATATTGTAAAAACATGAAACTCCACTTGAGAATCGATTGTTTAATTAAAAATAATTTGTCCAAATTGACATTTTTTATTAAACAATCGATTCTCAAGTGGAGTTTCATGTTTTTACAATATACGTTAAAAATTTTTTAAAGTTGAGTTAGTAAATTTTTAAGTGGCGCTTTTTGTTAAACAATTAATTTTTAAATGAAGTTTCATATTTTCATAATATACGTTACAAATTTTTTTAAGTTGGGTTAGTGAATTCTCAAGTGATAATAGTGAATGCCACTTCACATATTACATTTTTTTATTACAATTAAGGAGCATAATTCTTAATTAAGATTTTAAAATTTTATGATCCGTAATTGAGATTAATATTTTTAAAAGGTCTTTAATTTTCATTCCCCCTAAAATTTATGCGTCCGAAAACGGGTAGTCATCATTAGTTCATGCGTTTTATATATTGTGACCAAAAAGAAAAAAGGAGAAGAGTTTATGCGTTTTATATTAGACCGTTCATCGTTAAAATGAAAAACGAACAGAATAAAATAATTAGATTATTGATTTTAGAGTTGGATTTGACTTGAGAGATTGCAAGAAGATATTACCTTCAACTTGCGAAGTTCATTTTTACCAAAAAAAAAAAAACTTGCGAAGTTCATCATAAATATCACTTGTAGCGGGAAAAATCCAGGATCACTTAAACTATAACAGACTATAATTTTTTTTTTAATAAATGTGCTACCATTAACGATTTTAAAAGAGTTCCATTTGCGTGTATATTATATTCACCTCAAGAGCCTTTTCATTCGCAGGGACAAAAAAGAGAAAACAGTGTATTCGGTGCCAACGTCGCACTGACAGTTATTGCTACAAAGAGGGTAAAATTAATTCAAGGCGTTCTTTTTGGCCAAAATAAGATTTTCAGTTCCTAGAAATACATGCGTAGTGTCATATTAAATCCATTCAAAAAAAGGAGAAAAAACACTAACTAGTAGAGCCTGTTTGTTTATTATTCTTACAAACTGTTTTTTATTTTAATATTTTTAAAACAAAAAAAACTTGTTTGGTTGATGATTTTTAAATTTTTGTTTTCAAAATATTTTTAATTTCTTGTTTTTAAACACAAGAAAACAAAACAACTTTTAGCTATTTCTATTCCTATTTTTTTAGTTTTATAGAGAAAAAATGGGAAGCAAGAAATGAGAATTGTTCTCGTTAATGACAAACATTGTATTTTTGTCTCGATAAAAAAGAATCATCCATCTCATAAATTTATAAAACTGTTTTTGGATTACTATTATCAAACAAGTTTTTTTTTATTCTCAAAAATAATTTTTAAAATTATTTTATAAAACAACTTTTGAAAATAAAAAATGAAAAGAACGATCAAACAAGCCCTTAATGGCACACGGAAACAATCAAGAAGGGAGCATCCGCCCGTACGCGTGTATCGTAAACTGAAACGGAAACAGGATTGCACGCGAAGCTACAGTGCAGTGTAAACTGACATGAAGACAGGAGCAAGCTGCGCTATGATCTGTTGCAGCCCGTGCGTTATCAACCCGGGGGCGAGCCACCAAACTGCATGGTTGTTGGTTGACCTGGCAAGCGAGTAAGCTGCCACATCAATTTCGCCCTGCCATGACACGGAATAAACTTACACAAAACCCGTCAACGCAGCATCTTCATAACGCGTATTTATAAAAAAAAAAAACAATTTATGCTTTTTTCTCGATTTAACTCTATCATTTTTAAACATTACCTTCATTTAAAAATATAAAATATTTTTAATTAAATTTTATTTTTAATAAAATAATTATTTAATTTTAAATTAATTTTATCTTTTTATATTTATTCTTATTAAACACTCTATGATAAATATAAAGTTATTATCAATATGAATACTTTTGAAAAAAAAAGATAATAATTACATCTTAAAAGATAAAATATCCTTACATTTTTTAGCATCTAACTCCTCAAAAAATATCTTATATTTTTAAATGGAGGAAGTAAAGTATATCATAAATACATGTTTTTCCCCAATTTTATCGAATGCCCCTTTATAGTTAAATTTGTCTATAACAACAAAATTCAGTACTTTTTCTATTAAAAAATATAAGGCATTTTTAACCGAATCTCACTGTTTAATAAAATATTTACTTACTTTCAAACTAACTCTATTTTTTATATTTACCCCTATTAAACACCCTATAATAAATATAATATTACTATCAACAGGACACTTTTAAAAAAATACAATAATTACACTTCGAAAGACTAAAAATATTTTATATTTTTTAACATTTATGTCTTAAAAAATTGCTTTATATTATTGAAGGGAGAGACTATTTTTCCCCTTTATTTGCATGCATTTAATAATTAAATCTATCATTTCACCGAACAAAATAATAAAATATATTATAATTTTAAATGTGTACGTACGAAAACAAAATAATATCTGCATGTTCAAGTTTATAAAAGAATTTCAGTCAAAACATGCAATTTAAAGAAAGAAAATAACTTGGAATAATCTTATAAAAATTTTAAAATGAATATTTATAGCGCGCGCCTTACGGAATGATCACAGTGTTACTTTGTTTGGTTGCCTAGGATATCTACCACCGGTAGTAGTCACTAATCCCTTTATTGCGGAGTCTCCTATAAGAAGGCAAACAACTGGCCATGAAATGCTCTCCATTTGCAAGAGTGAAGAATCAAACCTCCCACCACACGCTTGGATGAAGTGAGATAGTCACTACGCCACACTCACATGGTTAATCACAGTGTTACTTTATTATCCACATATTATTGATTGACGTAATTATCATTTTTGTTCACCACAAATAATTATTTTTAAAAAAATTAAGATGATTTTGAAGTAATTCCGAATCCTATCTCAATGGTTAAGACTACTGTTGGTAAAAAAAAATTCCAAACTTATTTTAGTCTTTATATATTTTATATTTTATAGAGTATATAAGATTATGTATTTTTTCAAATGTACAATCACGTTACTTCATCAAGAATTTTTTTCAATAGGGATTTGGTTGTGTTTGATATTACCAATGTTAATTTAATTTGTTGCTCCTATTTTTTCAAAGCTTATTAAAATGTTATATAATTTAATATGTTTTTTACCCATAGTTTTGTTGCCTCCCTTCAATCCTTCATCATGACATAATACTTGTTCGGGCTAACACTCAAACGATGTATATTTAAGAGGTCACAATAGTTATATCAAGAATTAGGTTAGGTGAATGAAGCGTCAGACTCAATAAATAATGATTCAATAATGATAAGTCCAGTCCACACTATAGTAAAATGAACTAACTGAGTAAGCACAAATTTTTAAATCCTTTAAAACTCAAAATTATCAGACTTTCACCTATGGATGTTTCGGAAACATGGGCTAGCAGTTGCAAGCGGCCAACATGATCAATGCACGTTATAAATAAAATAATAACAACAGAGAAAAGGGGACATGCAAAAGCACCTTGAAAATTCTGAGGAGTTCTATCAATAGTTAACTTTTTACCTCAATTTATCTACTCATTTAATTTACCTTGTCAATTTATTTATTGTAATTTCATGTTCATGCACATTATTTAATCAATTTTGTTTCATTTTATTTTAACTTATATCTCTATATCTAGGTGAATTAGGTAAGAGAATCCAAGAACTCATTTTATACGAGACTTAATATCCTTGACATGCTTGGTTTTTTTATCATTTGGTTGATTTGCTTCCCATAGGCGAAGTGTTCTTTGTATGAAAAAAAAACAAGATACTGCTGCAATAATTTTTTAAGAAAATCAGGTGCATTATTTTTCGTAAATGACATAATTTGTTATATTTTACTCCATCCATACTATAATAAACATAACAGAAAATGTCCTCTCCGTATTGTAAACGAGCACCATTTTTAATTTTCAATAAAATATTAAATGAATTGTTTCCTGTTTTTTATTTATTAATGCACTCACAAACAGGAAAAAAACTTAGCTAAAGAGCTCAAGTGATTTTTTAGAAAATAATTAAATTGATTTCAAAAAATTTAGATTATTTAATATTTTAATTATTTCCTTGAATTGTATAAAAAATATGTTTGTAAGTTGTAACACAAAAAAAATTGCAAGGGGAAAAGTGGGCAGGGCGCGAAAAGCGTCCTAGGAGGGTTGGAACTTGGAAGACCTGAAAAAGTAGCGGGGGCGAGCATTGATTAGGTGAGGTGAAGTGTAAAGAAACAAAGCAAGTTGAGTTGCTCGCCTTATTGGAAATAAAACTCCACATGGTGCCGTTCACCTGGATGAATTTACGAAGATGCCCTTTGTCTCTCCACCAACTCCGCCTGCGCCTAGTCGTCTCTGGCCGACATCAGACGCGCAACGAAACCGGGCCCTTCAGGCCAGAACCCTTCTTATAAAATCCTTGCCTTTCCATTCTCGTTCCTTTCCAGGTACCTCCCGCACCTCTCCTTTTGCAGATCCTGTCAGGGGTTACCACTGTTGCGTCAACTACAACCACGATGGCGGTTGCCACCACCAACTCTCTCATTCCCAACAAATCCTTTCTTCCTTCTCATTCCCCTCTTCCCTCCATTAAACTCAACCTGCCTTCCCTCCCCAATAAGCCCAGGTTTTCGCCTTCTATTGTAGCCGTTCACGCGGCCGAGCCCGCCAAGAATCCCGTTGTCTCCGACAAGCCGCAGGCGACATCCGGCACATCTGTGTCTTCATCTGCAACGACCACTGCACCCCCTAATGTGGGTAGGGGAAAATGGAGCCCGGACAGTTGGAAATCTAAGAAGGCTCTTCAGCTGCCTGAATACCCGAATAAAGAGGAGCTGGAATCGGTGCTTCGGACTATCGAAGCGTTCCCTCCTATCGTGTTTGCTGGAGAGGCCAGGAGCCTGGAGGAACGACTCGCTGAGGCTGCCATGGGAAATGCTTTTCTTCTGCAGGGTGGAGATTGTGCCGAGAGCTTCAAGGAATTCAATGCCAATAATATTCGTGACACCTTCAGAATTCTTCTTCAGATGAGCGTTGTCACGATGTTCGGAGGCCAAATGCCCGTCATTAAGGTCCCTGTTTTCCCCTTGATTTTCCCTTCTTATTTCTATTGTCTTATGATAAAATTAAGTGAAATTAATATCAATCAAGCTCTAAATCTGGCCTATCTTTCGATAGGTGGGAAGGATGGCGGGACAGTTTGCAAAACCCAGATCGGATCCGTTCGAGGAGAAAAACGGCGTGAAGCTTCCGAGTTACCGAGGGGATAACGTAAACGGAGATTCTTTTGATGAAAAGTCGAGAATCCCGGATCCACAAAGGATGATAAGAGCGTACTGTCAATCGGCAGCCACCCTGAACCTTCTTAGAGCTTTTGCAACCGGAGGGTATGCTGCGATGCAAAGGGTCACTCAGTGGAATTTGGACTTCACAGAGCATAGCGAGCAGGGAGACAGGTAAATATAAATTCAAACTTGACCTGGCTTCATCTTGATGCTACTTCTGTATCACGATTATTTTTTCTCGAGTCAGTATTTTTGTTACTTTCAACTTTTTGCGCGAGAGAACAGAGCATTTTTTGGATGAAAAGCGAAAACAATCCATTATTGTCAGGCTTCTGTCTTCGGGCCTACAAAGAGGACAAATTTGTGTTTTATTATCTTTTCCATCCACAGCACACCATCCTCGCTAACTCTCAACTTTTCTGGTGGCAAAATATCGAGATTGGCTTATTAATTAAACGAAACACTAAAAGGACATTTTGCCCCTTGAACGATGATTGCATTTAGTGACACGTTATATTCGATAAGTGGGCAAATGGCGGATGTTGACTCTAGCAATTTAACTTGCCCTTGAAAGTACAGAAGCGAAATTTTGCATTTATATAGCTTTATTACTTCTGTGAGTTTACAAATAGAATTAGAACAAAACCACGCTTTTGTGACACTGGGAGCTTGTTATTTATTAAGCCCAAAGATATAGGACTGCTTTTTCCTGCATTAGGAACGAAGGCGTTATTTGGGCACTTTTCAATATCGCTGGTTGCTGTTTTGGTTTATGGAATGTTCCAGATTGAAATCCTCGATGACAAATGATATAGCTAAATAGCTCGATAAACTTTATTTTTCGGCTACCAGCAATATACTCTATGCAGTCTAGCTTTGTTGATATATGATGAAACGGGAAACTTGAGGAAAGCTAACTCTGGTCTTGGCATGGCAGGTACCGAGAGCTTGCTCACCGAGTTGATGAGGCTCTTGGATTCATGGCTGCAGCTGGGCTGACTGTGGACCATCCTATAATGAAAACAACCGAATTCTGGACTTCTCATGAATGCTTGTTATTGCCATATGAACAAGCACTCACTAGGTTGGATTCCACTTCCGGATTCTACTACGACTGCTCCGCCCATATGCTTTGGGTTGGGGAACGGACCAGGCAGTTGGATGGTGCCCATGTTGAGTTTCTAAGAGGAGTTGCTAATCCTCTGGGGATTAAGGTTAGGACATGATTCTTCAAAAGCTTTCAACGAGCAAGTGGTGAAATAACTTTATTTCTTGCACTTCATTTTCATTTATCCACTTCAAGGCATGTAACTTTTGGAATTTGCTCAATTACTATTGAAATCAAGTATGACTTATTACTTGGCTATTGCAGGTAAGTGATAAGATGGATCCAAATGAGCTTGTTAAACTCATTGAGATTTTGAATCCCCAAAATAAAGCAGGAAGAATAACTGTGATCACGAGGATGGGAGCTGAAAATATGAGAGTGAAGCTTCCACACCTAATCAGGGCAGTTCGCAGAGCTGGGCAAATTGTCACATGGATCACCGATCCAATGCATGGGAACACCATTAAGGCTCCTTGTGGTCTAAAAACCCGCCCCTTTGATGCCATCAGGGTATAATTCTAATAACTTTTCTCTTGCTCTTTTGAGTGTATTTATGTGAGTTCAGATTATAATGGTTGGATTAGAATTAGATGCTGGTTTTGTCGTCTCCCTGAAATAAAATAGAATACGAGCATTTGCTGGCCATAACCTTTGGAGAAATAGTATGCTTTTGAAATTTTCTATATAAATAAATGAAGGAAAATCCATAGAGAAAGATTGGGATATGTGGCATGTGCAATGACTGTGATTGATGAAGTATTTGTGATGGAAATGGTTTTAAATGTTTGGCCATAGGTACGATTCGTAACAAGGATGCGGTCGGCTGAATAGTTTTTTAAGGTTATCTATTGGGAAAATTACATTCAGGGTCTCTGCATGCGATTATTAATTTTGCAAGGACTTACTTGCAACTCTGGGAAGACTTAGTTGTAACAGGATCCTTCGCTAAAAACTTTTCAACAGAGTTCCTTGGTTTTGATATTCACTTCTCTCCTTGATCACCTACCAATTGTGAAGGCTATATAATTTAGAAACCATGGTAGGTAGGAATTGGTCCTGTAATTTTAAGGAAGTGATGTAATCAACTCCATTAGCATGTTATTTTATCAACAAGAAATAAGGAATGTCATTGTTGGGGTCGGGTCGTGTTTCTTTGTCAAAGTTGGTGGGATTAGACATTTGTGACCTTTTTTAGTTGCGACTTGTGAATATGTCCAACTTGTAGAAAGAAACAAGATTAGTCTAGGCCGCTAAATTGTGACATGTCCAACGGGTATTCTGATAGCCTCAATTTGATTGGACAGGCGGAGGTGAGAGCATTCTTTGATGTGCACGAACAAGAAGGAAGCCACGCAGGAGGAGTTCATCTAGAGATGACTGGTCAGAATGTGACGGAGTGCATTGGTGGGTCGAGGACGGTCACCTTTGACGACCTCAATTCCCGTTATCACACACACTGCGACCCTAGGCTGAATGCTTCTCAGTCTCTTGAGCTTGCCTTCATCATCGCCGAACGGCTTAGAAAAAGCAGGATGAGATCGCAGAAGCCTATTGGTTCCCAGTAGGGTTGTTTGCCTCTGTTCTTTTTCCTTCCGTCATATTTAATTCAATTCAATGACGCTTGTAACAAGTATTGTTGAGGGACAGGGACATGTAACCTCCTGGCTAATTAGCTTCGGTTGTGTTTTGTATTTATGTGTATACTGCGAGTAATGCGCGAGCCGCCCTATGAAGACAGCACTCCTCTGTTCTGTCTATTATCCGTGGGTTGCTTGAGACATTTTACTGGTTTTGGATACTCGAGTTGGGAAGAATTCCCAGTTGCAAGAACAACAGGTTCTGAAATGTGATATGCACCATCAACTCAGAATTTCTTGTTTGTCTATTCTATTTTTATTAACTTCTGTTTTGACAACCCTCTTTGTCTTTTTCTTTCTTACTCCACCCTTGTGCTGGCGAGTAATGGATCCATCGTAATACTCCGGCTGGTTGGCTGGCTGGCAAGGCCATGTCCCCAAGTCACGTCATCCCGATTTCCTGCGAGAACACGAGTTCACTATAGTCTAGCATGCAATAACACTTTTTGTTCTCTGTGGGGGTGAAATGCCAAGGAGAACGATTAAAACTATATATGTATATATTTTATATTTATATTTGTTTGTGAGCAAACAAACAAGAATGTTTTTTTCTATTGGACTGCATATAAAAATACGTAGAGTATAATGTTTTTTTCCTAAAGAAATTTATGCTGGAAAAACTTTTAACTAGGAGTGCGGCCGAGAGAAAATGTTCGCCGCGTGGCAAATCAAAAAATGGGTCTAATTCGTGCAAAGTTTGGCCTATAGTTTTTTTTTTTTTTTAAAGGTGGGTTTAAATCTTGTTAGTTGTTATCAATGTGAGATTGCAACTTGAGCCAACAAACTTGACTGATTATAATGAGCTCCTAACTTGACATTATGTGAATATAGATGTCCGTCACTACACACGGCTCAAGCAAGAAAAAACTTCACCATGAATGAACCTGCTGCTATTTCTGTTACTGCAAGTATAGGGAAGGAATTCGAGTTCGTTGTCAGGGATTTATTGCATGAGTAATGCACTAAACAATACATTTTTTATGGTATTGTTTTCAGAATTATTTTTTAAAATAAAATAAAATAAATATTTGTTCGATTATATTAGTTTAAAAATAATTTTAGAATAAAAATAAATTAATAGTGATGGTTATTTATGATAAAAATTAATGAAGGTAACTGTAATTTCTAATAATCAAGTGTAGTGTATTTTGAAAACAAAAAATAAATATTTTTAAAAATAATTTTGAAAACAATCAAATCAAAACACTTATTTAAATAATTTTTAAATTTTTTTTATTTTCAAAAACTAAAAATAGTTTTTAAAAACTGAAAACAAACAAGCTCTAAAACCAGATTTGGCCCTCTACTTTTTGTAAATTACAAGAAATTGGTTTTGTGGTTATGTATTGTAATTACGTCTAAATAAGTTTATACAGTATTCAAAAAGCATTGCAATGCTCTTTTTAAAATTTAAATACCATGGCAGCTCAAATTCGGACATTATTTTTTTGTTTTTCATCTTCATCCTCCATAAGAGGGAATTAAAAGATGAGGTAAGAACTTTTATTTAAAAAAAAGATATTATTAAAAACAAGTCATTGTAATGTTTACAAATTTAAAAGGTGACAAATATTTAGAAAGAAAATAAAAAGCAAATAAGATAAATAAACAGTAATAAGGGAGTGGCTTCAATACACGAGGGCATTTCCTTTTTTTTCCCCCGGGCCTGAATACATGAGGGCATTTCCATTTGATATATCTTTCAGTTTTGTGCGCTGGAAAAAGAAACAGTGCACGGGAAGAGAAAAGAAGAAGAAGAAGATGTCCGAAGGGGTGCGAATGGCGCTAGCTGCAGATTATATTGCACGCTCAATTAATCAGGTGCCGCAAGCGTCAGGACCTTGCCAGTTTGTTGGCAAAGGACCGTCGCGCCCACAACTCTGCTGATGGCGTAGCTATCACTAGGGGTGTTCATAGGTTCGGTTTGGTTTGATTTTGGGCAGAAACCAAACCGAACTGAATCATTCGGTTTACTGATAATTGAGACCTGATCGGTTTTTATGAAGTTCGGTTTGGTTCGGTTTTATTTTCGGTTTGGTTAAGGTCTTGATCAAGTTTTAATGCACTTGTTTAATTTTTTTTCCTTTTCTCCATCTTCATAATGGTGCTATGTACTAAAATTAAATTTAATTCTTTGTGACTCCTTTTTTTCATAAATAGAGGTATAAAAATATAATAAAATTTCAATGTGATAACAATAATTAATCATAAAAATTGATATAAGTTTTTAAGATTAAAATTATTTAATATTATGTATTTTCATTAAAATCCTTTGAAAATGTTTATCTATGTATCTATATTTTAATAAATAATGAAAAACTTATTATACAAAATTCAAAACAAAATGTTTCTTGTAGATAAATTGAATGCTGAGGCTTTTAGGTTGTAAATAATTAAATGATGATCATAGTATGATTATTATAATCACTTAATATTATGCATTTTCATTCAAGTATTTTAAAAATATTTATTTATTACTATAAAAAATTCAAAACAAAATGCTTCTTATAGATAAATGGTTATATATTTTACAAATAAATAAATAGAATTTTTTTAATCAAATTTGGTTCGGTTTGGTTCGATTTCTTGTACTCAAAACCGAACTTGAACCGAACCAATCGTTTTTTATATCATAAAAACCGAAGCGGACCTGATTGTTGTTCGGTTTTGATCGGTTTTTGTCGGTTTGGATTGGTTTGGATCAGTCCTTTCGGTTTGGATCGGTTTTGAACACCCTTAGCTATCACACAGTCTTGGAATTCCTCTATTTTTAAGTTGTGTCAGTTTTAGCATGATCGATCTATTAATTTTGACCAAGTCAATCGGGCTATTAGAATGTAGATAAAGAAACTAAAAAGTTTGACACACAGAGGGAGAAGAGAGCTTGGGAGAGAGCTTAGCTTTATTAATTTGCTTGTTGATTACAAATGAAGGGTGATAAGGTATTTATAAATTTACTTCTTATTCTAGAGTTTTCTCGCTTCCTTAATGTACGGTGGAGATCAATCAAATCTTACAGTTTACATTTATTCTCTAAAGTGTTCTATAGAAAATTAGAAATATCTAAAACAAATATCTAATTATTTACAAAGATATTTTTAAAGACCAACTTCAAAATATATGTGAAATATTCTAAAATATTTTATGATATTTGAGATATCTCCATGTTTTTCCATAAGTTTTTAAAACTTTATAGAAACTTGGAGAACCTCCTAGATTTCTTTAGATATTTCTAAATACTTTTAGAATCTTTCAAAATATTTTAGATTCTTCTTGAACATTTTGAAATTCTCTTTATCATCTTAAAAGTCTCTAAAAATTTTTCAACCTTACAGGTTCTCTTTTTAAAGATCGGTTGAGACATTCTCCCCAACTAATCCAATGACACCCTCGTCACTGACTCGATTCGCATATTAAGGATTCCTCTTGCAATAATCCTCCTTCTTTTTAGTTTCCTCATGATCTATCTCCTTACAGGATGGGATCATTTATTATTTTCTTTCCATCTTATCTTCCTTTAATACTTACATTGTTGATAACCAAGCAAAACCATCCCTTGAAGAGGGTATCGTGCAAGTAACTTTTCCCTCGAGGATGTAGAATACATTATGACATGGCATGATAAAAGCTTTTATCTTACATAGGAGCTCCAAAGCAAGAACCATATTGTTGTCATCGATATGTGCAATTGAGAAATCTATCTTTCTATGCCAATCCTTAAGACATAACTTGACCCCTCAAGCAATACAAATTAAGAGCTGAAGAGGAGAATTGGCAACTTTTAATAAACCTCCCCTTCTTTCAACTTTGAGACCTCCCTCAGGCCTCTTATGGAGAAATAAAGTTGTGGTTTGTCTCAATATCCACTATGATGCTAACAGGCTTTCACTTAACTTGGCCCTTACACGTATCAACCCATTACCTCGTGAGGGTAGGGCTTTAAAAGTATTGAGAAGTTGAATTGGTCCTATCTTGGGATTTGTCTCCTCCTCCTGCACTTCTTGTCTTTACACCAAAGCAAACAATGACCCTACCTTTGGACAATCCTCCATTCTATGAGGGCCTTGACATACAAAGTAGCGTAGTTCCCTCTTCTCCTTCTACTTTGTCTGGGATCCTTTCCCTGTGTCTCCCTTGTTAATTGCTTTCCCTTCAAGGTTTGTCCTTTTACCATTTTCTCCCCCAGCATTCTCAAGATTAGGGTCAGGAAATTTATTCTCAAGAGACTTACCTCTTGCCCTCTAAAGCTTTGAGAGACCCTCAATTACTACTATGGCTTCATCGATGGTCTTAACACATCACCGCTACAATTTATGCTTGACCCAATTTTGAAAATCATCAATGAAGTGAAAGAAACCTTCTTTACTATCAAATTTGGAATTTAAAGAGTTAAATATGTGAATTCCTGCACATAGTCTGAAGTAGTGGTCTTATGTTTAAGCCCTCTCAACCTCTTACAAGCTACATAGACCATATTCTCCATATATAAGTACCTCTTTAACTTCTTCTTGAAATCCTCCCAAGTATTGATGGTACAAAACCGCTTGTCTATATCTGCATGCTTCCTTACCACCATAGCATGGCATCGTTGATAAGGAAGTAAGCAGTGGTACGTACTTTTATTTGATCATCTGTTGTCCCCAAGATGTCAGCATATTATTCCATCTATCATAAGAAGTTCTCTACTTCCTTGGCATCCCACAAACCTTTAAATGCCTTTGGTTTAGGAAGATTCCTCACTTTTATTATCCTACTATTTCCATCCAATAATGGATTCCTCCCTTTGCCTTCTAATGAGGTATTGAGAGTGTTGAGTTGTTGTTATATTGTGGTGATAGCATCTGTAACAGACCAGATTTTTTTTACCATAATTTTTTTTACTAAAGAAAACCTCCCCCTATTTATCCTTATAAATAAACATTTTTTAGAATGTACTTATCCAAACAAAGCGATATTAAGATTAACAATCACCACAGGACTTAGGGCACATGAGGCCCAATAAATAATTTGCAGCAAGTCCAGGGTTCAACAATAGTTTATAGATATAATTAACACTACTAAACACACATTTTTCTTATACCATTAAAATGCTTGGCCCAATAGAAAACCATGGTCCAAATTGATGTGTTTAAAAGTTATCCAGCTCAAACAAAAAGATTGAGTAGCTATAATCGAATAACCTATAACAATTATCTAAAATAAAATTTATAAAGGTCCCTAGGTCATGACAACTATAATTACAAAATAAACAGAAAATTACATGCCAAGCCGAGAGAAGGGAGCCTAAGCTCACTTTTTCGGTGCCTTCCTTGTAGCTTCACTTGACTGCTCACTTAAAAATAATAAGAAGTAACATGTGAGATTAAAATCTTAGTAACAATTGGTTATTTTAACATATACCAATATATTTCTTGAAATCAATTTGTAAACATATCCATAGATATACATATACATTTCACAATCAATACACAAAACAAGAAATGCAATATTCACAATTTTATAATAATTTCTAAATTAATGTCAAATTAAAACAACATTAATACATTTTTCAACCTCATCCTTATGGCTCCCAACTCCTTTATTACCGCTAGTTGGAGCCTAAATTGAGGTTATACCTAGCTAAAGGTACATTGTCATCAAAATAGGACTCTCCTCTTTAAAAAGAAGGTGCCCATTGTCCTAAAATGTCAAAGACATTAGGAACTACAAGAAAAATGCCAACCACTACGCACGTAGTAGAGGCAAACCATACGGCATAATATTCAATCATCAATCCCAAACAAATAATTATATTACTAGCCATCCTTATTACATCTTTTGCATCACATAAAACAAATGCACATTGCACAATAAGATCACACAAGTATTAATATATATATATATATATATACACATAATACTAAAAATCAGTATCTTAATATATAAAAGGATATTCCAATGTTACCTCTTTTCCAAGCTATAACTAACTTAGACGTATAGGAAACTTCTTAACCATAATAATAGATTAATCTACGACATCGAATGATATAAATACCATTATATATATATATATATGTTGTAATTTATCAATTAAATATAAAATTCAACTAAACTTCTCAAATTTACAATCATATCCTTCCAATCTAAATTCCTCCAATAAAAACTCAAAATTAAATTAAATTAACTTACTAAATCCTAAAAACATAATTTAATCAATATAAATATCTTATACATCAAAAATCACAAATTTTATAGTTAAAACTTAATTTTAAACTCTCAAATCATTTAATAGAACAAATCTAAATTGATATAATTTAAGTATTTATTTATCTTTACTAATTAATAATTTTCGTTGTTAAAAGTCAATACTTACTATAAGTTTAAACTTTAAAATTTGCTTTACTCATCAAAATTTTACTATTATTAGAAAGCTCTAGATGTGCAGGAAAATATTTATAAAAGAAGTTTTAGGAATTAAAATAATTTTAAGTATAAAATCTTACATCAAAATCTTTCAAGCCCTTGTCCTTCTCTTTTCTCTATATATCTCTCTCTTTCTCTCGTGTACAAGCGAGCAAGGGATAGCAAATCTAACAATTTATATGCTCCCCTCTTTCCACTGTCTCTCTTCTAATATTATTATTATAACACACACGCACACACACACACATATATATGTTTTTGTTCTCCTTATACCACCGCCCCTCCTTCTCATTTATTATTATTATTATTATTATTATTATTACTTAACACTTAAGTTAACAAGCCTTAAACCCTTTTTTAAATTTTATTTTTTAAAAAACACATTTTAACATAAAATTATATTCTATGTTAAACTAAAAAAAATCTTCTAATTAATTTTTTTATCTTCAAACATTCTTTCTATTTTTCATTAATTTTAATTAACTTTAAAAATTAAAATAAAATGTTACAATTTTTCTCTCCTTTAAAAAAATTTATCCCAAAATTTAATCTACCTATAAATATAGGTACATTACAAACGTTAGTCATAGGTCAACCTACCTATCTAAATAAGTAAGGATAGTCTTGTTTCATTTTTTCTTCTGTCTCTCAAGTTGCATCACCGAGTGTTATACCCTTTCACACCACCTTAACCAATTTGATGGTCTTGTTCATTAATTGTTTATCTTTAATATCCACTATTTGCTCCAGCTCTGCCCTATAGGTCATGTTCTCCCTTGACTCAACCTCCTCTGGTTCAATAATATAAGATGGGTTTGGGTAAATACTTCCTTAATTGAGACATATGAAAGATATCATGAACTCCATAAAGTTGTGGTGGCAAGGCTACATGGTGGGCAACCAGTCCAAATCGCTCCAATACTTCATAAGGACCCATGAATCGTGGTGTTAATTTCTTAGTTAAAATAATAAGAGTAAGTTTAAAAATAAAAAAATAAATAATAAATATGAGAGTTATAATAAAAAAACGTGAGGATTGATATGCAACAATGATAATAAATAGCAAGATAAAATACAAAACTAAACAAAAAAATTATATTTTTTATGAATATAGAAAAAAGTCATCTATGAGAGAGAAATTATCTTTTAAATATGATGCATTTAGTGAGGATAAATTAAAAAAAAAATTTAGACAAAACTAATGATTTAACTCTTCTTCTTTAGTATAGTGAGGTGATTAAATTAAAAGTGATTTATATATAAAACAAGAAAAAATACTATAATATTAGCTATGCTATTTGCTGAATTTAAATTTATTATTTAATATATACATAATTTTTATTTGTGCTATAATTATAATTTATAAATACAATGATGACATAAATTACTGTGCATTTAGGATGATGCATGGGTCAACAAATTCTAGATTCAGGAATTATTTTTTAATATACACAAGGCCTTTAAATAGTTACCCCCATGATAAGGATAACACATTGCACAAAACAGAAATTACTACTGAAATTTTAACGTACAGTGGACAATCAATGAATGAAATTTTTTTTGTGGGAAAATGTTTTTCTTTGATTAATTATGAGAAAAAACTTAGTAAAGAGTATATTTTTTTAACTTAATTTCAAAATTGTCCTACATATTAATTAGAAGAAGAAGTCAAATGTTTTAGGGGATTACATGCGTTAAGATAATTATTTTATCTTTGATATATATGAGCAAAAATATTTTTATATAAATATTTAAGTAGATCGGATGCACCACATCATTTGTGACTTGTCCAATAAAAACATGACGTATAAATGACATTAAATATAAATTGATTATAATATTAATAACAATAAAAAGAGAAAATGTAAAAAATCAAATATACATTCTGTATTAAAAATAAAATCAATTTAAAAGTGTCACACAAAATTTTGTTTAGATTATTCAGAGCATTTTAATTAAAAAAATTATAAATAATATGATGCATCCAATCTAATTAAATATTTTTTTATTTTTAATATAAAATAAATTATTATTTAAATTTTAATTTATTTAAATATACTAAATATGATATTTTGAGTACATAGCATAAATTTTTTTTTAATCAATATATTTTATTTTGTTTTATTTTTATTTTTTAATATTAAAATATTTTGAAATAAATCTAGTTTAAGTTAAAGATCATGGTTCTTTTTTTTTTTGAAAAAATTTCATAATTTTTTATTTTTAGCTGTAATTAATATTTGTAAAAAGCCCTTAAATATTATTTTCTCAAAAAAAAAAAAGGGAAATGCTAGAGGAGATTCGAAAACATCGAGGTTAGCTGCTTAGGCAGAGATGGCGTACGAATGCCGCGCACACGGTATTCTTCCGCGTATCCATGACCTTGTTCCTGCACCTTGCTCTTTCGCAGAGACTTTTGAATTATAGACAAGAGAGCGGGTGATTATGGATTAGACTTTTCATTTGCCTTTATTATTTGCAAACGACATTGATGGAACCTTCTACAGCGCAGATGGCGGGAGGACCCCGAGATCGCAGAGCTGATGCTCTTGGGGACCTTCGAGTCCTACCCGATGAAATCATCTGTTCAATTTTAGAGGAACTCACTCCTCGAGATGTTGCTCGCCTCGCTTGCGTTAGCAGGTATAGTATACGCAAGTCTCCCTCATCATTCAGTGTATAAGAAGTTCGGGTTCAGCTATCTCTACATTTGCTGTTTTCTTGCCGCAGCTGTCCGAATCTCTTGTTTTGTGTCGACTTAATTTGCATTAATGTTCATATTTCCTTACCAATGGCCAATCAGGTAATCACGGTTTGGGATTAAAGATCATGCTATGACTCCGTTGGCGATCTTCTCCCGTTTATATATTCTTTAGGATAATTTTAATAACATGCCTTTACTTATTATAAGTAATGCTCATGACTTGAGCGAAACATATTTAGGTGTAAAGCAAATGCTTTTGTATTTATACGACTTAACTTCGACAAGCTTTACCAACCGCAATTTGAACCATAAATAAATAAAATTTTATGTATCAGGGGAAATTTGGCGTTCCATCCATGTTGTCCCTATCATTTGTAGTCTATTTGGCTGCGTTCTAATTTTTGATGAGAATATTGATGGAAATAAGACAGAATTTTCTGTTGCATTTCTCATGACTTGATACAGCGTAATGTACTTACTGTGCAATGAAGAACCACTATGGATGATTTTATGCCTTAAGGGAGCTTCTGGTTTACTTCAGTACAAAAGCTCTTGGAAGAAAACTGCGCTGCATCAGTATGTATCCTATGAATCTGCGAGCTGTGATGCTTGATTTTACTTTCCGTTTCATGCAATTTGTAACACATATGGAATTGGGTATTTTGGTTGCAGCGAGAATTTGCCAGACAAATATATTGAGTGTAATAGAGGATTTCTTCATTTTGATGGTGATGGTTCTGATAGCTCTTGCTTATCTTCTATTTTCTAGGCATTTTTATATTATATGGCCTTGAAGCAATCTTAGATGAGAATTTTCTCTAGAACAGATATTGATACAATGCTTTACTTATCTTCCATTCTGCAGGATTTAACTCGTTATATTTGTATAGAAGATTATACAGGTGTCACACCAAGTTGGATACATTTTATGTGGATAATGGAAATGTAAGAAGAAAAGATGTCTCTCTAGAAGACTTCCGTGATGAATATGATGGGAAGAAACCGGTACAGTGCTAAAATAATTAGATAGTAAATAAATTTTAGAGTAAATTACAAAGATCACTAAGATTTGCTGAAGTCATGTCTTTTTTCTATTTTCAAAATGTACGTGTAATTTTGAAACGTAAGTTATTCTACATTCTAGTCCAATTTTAATTTTTTTATTATAACACATTCTATTTTTCCAAATATTTACATATATATTAACAATAATATTATCTAAAAGACTAAAACATCTTTATAGAGGATGTTTTAGTCCAAAAATATAAAACTGGACTAAAATTTATATCTTGAAAATAGAGAACATTTATGCAATTTCAATAAAATTAATGGGAGATCCGTGTAGTTTACTCTGTGTTTTATAATTTATTTTCTCCAAAATTTTCTGTGCCAGTGCCTATTGTTCATCTCTATCTTTCCTTGGCTTTATTTGTTTTCAATTTTTTTCATAAATTAAAAAAATTGCTTGCATATTTGCTGATTTTCTCAGAAGCAATAGGGTGTCCCCCCCCCTGAAAAAAAAAAAAAAAAACCCAACCCCCACCATCTAAAAGATAGGAAACAAGAATTATATATCGTTGTCTTCTATGAAGGGATGTTGGTATGGTTGATAGCTTAACTTTCCCTCCCTCCCTTTGTGTAATGGAATTTTGGATATCTCAGAACTCAAATTGTGATTTATCGATACTTAATGGCTCACTTTTTAATGATGTGTAATTTTGATTAATTGCTTCCCAGGTAATGCTTACTGGATTGGCTGATGCATGGCCTGCAAGGCATAAATGGACAACTGATCAGCTGTTGCTAAGCTATGGAGATGTAGCATTTAAGATTTCTCAAAGGAGTTCTCGGAAGATCTTGATGAAGTTTAAGGATTATGTTTCCTACATCAAACTTCAGCATGATGAAGATCCATTGTACATTTTTGATGAAAAGGCGTGTCTATGATTTATGTTTCTATATAGCTAGCACCCCTTCCCCAGCCAACCTGAATTCCTCTTTTCTAGTTTTCATTTGATAATTTTGGGGAGTTATTTTAACACTAATTTCTCTTACAGTTTGGTGAAACTGCACCGGGCTTGCTGAAGGATTACTGTGTGCCTCATTTGTTTCAAGAAGACTTCTTTGATATTTTAGATGAAGATAAACGGCCACCCTACAGGTGGCTCATAATTGGGCCAGAGAGATCTGGTGCCTCTTGGCATGTTGATCCTGCTCTCACTAGCGCATGGAACACTCTTCTTTCTGGTCGCAAAAGGTGAAAACATTGAGCTGCTTGACATGGAAGTTTTTTCTATCTTTTGGTTTCATGGCATAGATCATGACTTTGAGCATGGCAACCGGTGAAACTGTTTGCATTGCATGTTTTGAATTTATTATTTGAAATCAATGATTTGGAATTTTCATATTAATGCTATTAATATCTTGTGAACATTTACTTCATTGGGAATTCTTATTTGGTTGAGACCCCCTATGCTACTTAAGCACAATTGACTTTGAATATAAGCTATGGGGTAGAACCTCCTCTCTAGAATTCATAAAATATGTTAGCTTAATTTGTGGAAGCTGTAAATGAATGTAATTGGAGCCGTTTCAAACATGGTTATTATCCCTATGTAACCTAATATCTAGAACATGATGTGTTTTTTGAAGTTCACACGGACTGAAGATCTAGGAAAATCCTAATAACAATGACACCTGAATTCCTTATAAGCATTTGAGAGTTCTTTCAACCTTTTGGATTCTTATTGATGGCATGCCAAAATATTTTGGATATAAATAAATGAAATGAATCAAGTTCTTTTTCCCTTTTCTTTTTTCCTTTCTGTGTGCCGGGGGAAGAGGATATTTTTCAAAAGACACTTCCACACTTTCAAGCATTCTTATTGTACAGGAATGCTAACGTTACATCTAGACATCTTTCTTTGTCTGAATGTCAATGGATAACTAAGTCAACATCATAGAACAGTATGAAGATAGTGGGGGTGTATGAGTGAGAGTTAGAAGGGGGGGAAGTGTGTGTGTGTGTGAGAGAGAGAGAGAAGGCATCGCCACTTGGTTCAATCATCTACTGGATTTTTTCTTGATGATGCAACTACAAACATATGTTCAATGTTATTTATTGCTTAGATCTTCCCCATGTTAATGCTTGACTATGCTTCAAATAACTCATGCTGAAGGCCTAAGGGAATTTTTTCACTTGCGTGTGATAGGTGGGCATTATATCCTCCAGGAAAGGTGCCTTTGGGAGTCACAGTGCATGTCAATGAAGAGGATGGTGATGTTAACATCGAGACACCATCATCACTGCAGGTTCTCTAATGCTGCATTATAATCTACAAGCATTTTCTAGTTATCTTTAACTATCTTGCAGGCAGCATATAATTCATTGGTTGCTATGTTCACAGTGGTGGCTGGACTTCTATCCACTTCTTGCTGATGAAGACAAGCCAATTGAGTGTACACAACTACCTGGAGAGACAATTTATGTTCCCAGTGGATGGTGGCACTGTGTTCTAAACTTGGAAACAACTATCGCTGTCACGCAGAATTTTGTGAATTCCAGTAACTTTGAATTTGTATGTTTGGATATGGCCCCTGGTTATCGTCATAAAGGAGTTTGCCGTGCTGGATTGCTAGCTCTTGATGATGATAGTTACGAACATGTGAAAAAGAATGTTTTCTGTGATGAACAGAATTTGAGTTATTCCATTCCGCCAAAGAGAGAAAAAAGAGCCAGAAATCATGAAAATGGAGATGATTTGAATAATGAAAGAACAAAAAATGGTGTATCTAGGGCCTATAATGCATGGAAAGATGGATTTTCTTATGATATTAAGTTCTTATCCATGTTTTTGGATAAAGACAGGGACCACTACAGGTCCCCATGGAGTTCAGGCAACAGCATTGGCCAGCGAGAATTAAGAGAATGGTTATCCAAACTCTGGATTGGAAAACCAGAAATGAGAGCGCTAATATGGAAGGTATACTTTTGTTCTTTGGACACACTCTTTAGGCTCACAAAGTCAACTTATGAGATGGAATGACCTTTTTTTTATCTATGTTTAGGGAGCATGTATTTCACTAAATGCTGGCAAGTGGTCAGAATGCCTATCTGAAATTTGTTCCTTCCACAATATTCCCTCTCCCCTTGATGATGAAAGGCTTCCTGTTGGTACGGGTAGCAATCCTGTAAGTTATTGTTTAAGCATCTGTTAATTTTGACTATTTTGTTTTATAGAAGACTGGACTACTCCAATTTTTAGGCTTTGGTGAAAATGCTTAGTCTTTAACATCCCAACAATAGTGATTATGACTTGCTATTGCTTCAGAACTGTAACAAATCTTAGTGGAATTATTTAGTTATTTACCAAGACTTCTTGGTTCAGTCAAAGTGCCGGTGCTTGACTGTATGAGTCTTATCCTTGTAAGTATGAGCTCACATTCTGAAACTAGCATCCCTTGCTGTACACTATCAACATTTTGGGGCATTATCAAGGGAATGGCTTCTGTAATCTTGGGATCTAGGCCTACAGAACAGAATGGTGAAAGATGAGTGTACCTTGTAGAAAAATGCTTTGATGGAAACCTAATCAGTGTCTTCTTGTGCATTTTTATTATCTATGGACAAAGGAGTTTGCTGCATTTTGTGAATTTAAAGGTAAGTTGATATAACTGATCTTTAAATATTGAGAGTAACCCCACATTCTTCTAGTTACTGAAGTATGGTTTAATCTGTGTCTGTGTGTTCTGTACAGAAGAAATGACAGACTCCTGATTATAGTAGAAGTTAAATGTGAAATCCAAAATGAGTTATAGATTTCACTTTTATTTGCTGGAAAAGACTTTCCTTTAGGAACTTCATAACACGTAGAATTTGAACTTTCATTAGCTTCCTCTGGCAGAACCTCTTCTATTTTCCAAGACAATTCTCTTGTTGACTTCTAATTTTTTTTCTACAGATTTTAGGAAAATATATTTTCTCATGAGAAAAGTTTTGCTCCCTTCTATGACTATTATCTCTCCCTTTCTCAACAGGTTTTTCTCGTGGGAAACACAGTTGTCAAAATCTTTGTTGAAGGAGGGCTAGAAGTTGCACTTTATGGTTTAGGCACAGAGGTACTTCTTAAGCAATTTGTTTCTTAATTGCATCAGCTTCACAAATCTAACTTTCACATGTCCATGTTACAGCTCGAGTTTTACAATATATTGCATGAAGTTAACTCCCCTCTTAGGAATTGTATTCCCGAGGGCTTGGGCACTGGAATTCTTTATCTTGATAACGGAACTTACACCAATCTGCCTTGGGACGGAAAGGGAGTTCCAGATATTGTTATCAAGAATAATCTAACCGGGCAAAAAGGTGGAGTTGATGATTTCCTATTTGGTGTGTGGGGCAAGAAGCAGTTTGAATATAGGAATGCTGAGATGCCAAAACATGAATCAGTTAGTTCAGCTGGGCACTCAAATATATGGCCTTATATTATAACAAAACGTTGCGAGGGTAAAATATTTGCTGAGTTGTAAGTCTTAGCTATGTGCTTCATCAATAATATTGCAGCGTATCAATCTTATTTTCTGATTTCTTAAAGTAACATAGTTCTTTGGTCTTCATTTTGATTTGCTTGCAGAAGAGATATACTATCAAAGGAAGACGTAACAAACTTAGCTTCCTTCTTGGGAGAGCAGTTGCGGCATATTCACCTTTTACCACATCCACCATTGAATGTTTCAGCTTTCTCTGTCATTGAACAGGATTCAGGCTTGCCTGAGATTAATGGTTATGCTGCAAGTTTTAATAATAAATTAAACATGAGAGCAGAGTGGGAAATCTTTATCAGAACTTTAACGAGAAAGAGGAAGGATGTCTTGAGTCGCTTGGCTAAGTGGTATAATTTGTTCCTTTAGTCCCTTGGTGACATTTTTGTTGGAAAGAAAAGTTTGAAGATACATAGGAAACGCATCTATTTAACATTTTGCTGCTTACTCATTGTTTGTATACTATGTAATGATCTCGAGTACTTTGTATGTTGTTTTCGGTTTCATATCTAGTCTACTTGCTTAAAATGTACTTTTTCCATGCACGATAGTTGTGCTTAAGTATGATTGCTCTGCATTTGTGGTTCTGTGCAACTGAGTTTTTTTCAGATTCATTGTTATATAGAGCTGATATTTATCATAAAAATAGGCCATTGCCTCTTCTTTTTGAAAAATGGTTTCTGATGCTTGTTACTACAACTTTGTAGGGGGGACCCGATCCCTAGGAAACTGATAGAGAAGGTCAATAAATATCTTCCTCATCAATTCGAAAATTTGTTGAACATAACCGAGGTTTCTTCTTAACTTGCCTTTGTTTTACATTTTAAGACTAAATAGCTATAGCAGAGTATCATGGGATTTCTATAATTTTTTTTTTTTCTCATTTCACTTTGCAAGTCCCAGGACAATGCTCGTAAACCATGCTCCTGGATACACTCTGACATTATGGATGATAACATTTACATGGAACCATCATGTGTTTCTACCGCAAGTGAAACCTCTAGACAGGGTGCGCTGGCAGACAATAGATCTTTATGTGGTTCCAGTGTAAATAGAGATGTGAAGTCATGGCGCCCTAGCTACATCCTTGATTTCAGTGATCTTTCAATTGGTTGGCATCTCTCCTTGGCTAAGAATTATGTCATAATTTCAATATGGTCCCTAAGAAGAATTCACTCAATTCATTTTCTAGAGTGATAATTGACCTTCAGCTAGGTATTAATAGTTTATTTATTGTTGAAGATACGTGTTTTGAGCACCTCTGTTGTTAAATTATTTTTGGTTTCATTCTTTTGCAATTAAGTGAATTAATAAGTTGAGTCACTTGCCTTTTAGTATGCTGAGCTTTCCTTTGTGAATGTTGCGTTTCTCCACAATATGTAGCTTCATATTTAAATCGATAAATATGCTTTCCTGATTTTCCATATTTATATAAAAACTGGGATTTGAAATTTATAAATTTGAAGGAAAAAAAAAAAAAAACTTGACCATAAATGCATTTCAATGTCCCGCTCCTTGGGAATTCAAGTTGATCTTTTTCTCTTCTCTTTTCTATTGCAGGTGATCCTATTTTGGATTTGATACCAATTTATTTAGATGTATTTAGAGGTGATTCTTATCTCCTCAAGCTATTTTTAGAAAGCTACAAGCTTCCTCTTGCAATTAATATCTCAAAGCATGAATCAGCAGAGAATGATGATAAATGTTGCCGGCTTTCATATCTTGCCATGTGAGTACATGTCTCCAAAGTTCTGCTGTATATTGTCTACTATTTATCAACTCTCATGCTATATCTCCTGCCATTGATGAATTAATCACATTTTTCTTAATTTCTGTGTGTCAAGTTATCTGTACAATATTTTAAAATATGAATTCATGTACCAATAATAGCCACTTGCTCTCAGTTCAGGCACTCCTTAAAGGTTGCTAAGTAAAGCACTAAAAGATGTTTCCCCAGTCGTGACAACAACAGTTGTTGTTTATAGAGAGATCTTTCAAAATGTTGATTATACCCGCTGCTTGTGAGCTTTACCACAACAATCCTAAATCAACTAATTCTTTCAAATTCTTTTGCTATCAATATGTACCAGAATTCTTGTGAGTAACATTCATGAATATTAGTTATTTTCTTTCATCCACCCCCATTTTTTCTTCCCAACTAATTCAAGTTCTTTTCAAGGTCTCCTAAACACCTGCATCTTCTAAATGAAGCGTTTTTAAACGTGTTCATTTCATTCAATACTCCTAAACACGATCTTCCGACCTTTTTATGGATAAATATTCGCTCACATTTAGTCTAGATACTAATTGTAAGAATTAAAATATTATCATCGATGATGTTGCCAACCTCAACTTCCCGTGCAATGCACAGGGCATAAAGATCTAGTTTTTGAATACTTGATCAACACTTGCTTATTTTCCATCTTGGCTTTTGGCCTTTGCAATATCCAAGAAAAAATGTTTAGATAATTCAAACTCATGCATGTTGGTGAAGCATAATGTCCTATGGATAAATTGGTAGATGTGAAGTACCAAGTTGGCTATTTTGACGTGCAAATGCAAATAATCTTTGTGCGGAGAAGTTTGACTTTTTCTTTCATTCATTATTGCAGGTGCTACTGTATATTGCATGATGATAATGTCTTGGGAGCTATATTTAGTATATGGGATGAACTTAGATCAGCAAATTCATGGGAAGAGGTTGAATTGACGGTGTGGGGGGCGTTGAACAATTACAAAGGCTTTCCTTGACATTTGGGGAATGTAATAATGGTGCCTAAATAGACATTGGAGGAGCCCTCTTTATAAAAGCACATGTTTAATATTTCTGGCATCTCACGAGAGAGGTGTATGATTCACAGCTATTGTTGTCCATAGGATTTTATGTTCTTTGAATATTTTATTTGATAATTCATAATAAAGTGCCCCCCTGTTCATAGCTGGTGCAGTTTGAGTGTTATCATGATGTCCCTTTGCTGCTGGAGTGACATTATATTGATGAAGAACGGGACTTGCTTTCTACCGATAAACATTGAAAGTGAAGAGCTCAATCTTTCTTTTTGGGAAAAAAATATTGCAGGGAAAAAATGCACTTTGTGCATTGCCCCAGTAACAGTGATCTTGTATAGGGGAAGTGGTTGGTTCAATACTCTGCAGGATTAATTTAGTCTTCTTGCAATTCAAAAAAAAAAAGTAATTTTCAATAGAAGAAAATTACTGCAAATTAGGTATCCTTTTTGCTAGGATGTTTAGAAGCATGAGCGGATTTAAATTTACATAAGGAGCTTCACGTAAGATAAAATTAAATTTAACTAATATAAAACAAAAAAAATATAAAAAAATTGAGTCTTAAGATTTCTTTATGATGAATGAATCTTATGATTTTAAGTTAAGATATAATATGTTTTTTATTATTACTGCGCACTTGCTATCTCTCTCTCTTTGAGCAGTCACTCTTACCTAACAAATGGTATCAAATTTAAGTTTTTCTCGAAACTTGAGAGCCCATATTATGCAAACATTTCAAACCTAAAATGAAACTGGTCATAACTTTGGTGGCTGTCTTTCAACATAGAAAGATTTTCAAGACTTTGAATTAATATGAAAAGTCTCAATTGAAATAAAATTAAACTTAAGGATCAAAATAAAATATGAAGAAATGACACATTGTAAATACCTGAAAGCCTTCTTAAATTTACATGGTAACATTTTCCTATTTTCAAAATATTTATTTTATTTTATTTTTCGTTCACAATCACAAACCTACTACCTTAATATCATTTGATTTACAGAGATACATGCGCACGTGAGTGTTTGAGTAGAATGCATGTTTTAAGTAATACTGGCACGGGAAGTATCATCAGTCGCTGCTTGTTTGAAATGAGTTTTCCACTTGACCAGGCTGACCATCAAACATAGATGTCTTAGAAACAATTAGTATGGTTTGGCCAAACAGAAAAGGAAAGGAAAGCATGACATATTCACTCCTTCTGAGCAAAGAATCCGATTGTAAAACAATTTCAAGGGGGAAAAAAACAAAAACAAAAACAAAAATTCCATTTACAGGAAACAATAGCGCAGCATGTTATTTACATGCATGCTTAAATACGGCCTACAAATTCGCCACTTGTTTCTATATCATCAAGATCTGCATCAGCATCTAAGTCATCTAGGTCCACGCTGCTGCCTCCAGCCAGAAGGCCACCAACCATGGGGGCAATGGGAGGTGTTTTTGCCTCTTGTATTATGGACAAAACTTCCTCCACACTCTGTGATGGATTATTTACATCATTGCTCTGCCAACTTCCTCCTTCCGTCAGTTCAATAGGCAAGTTCCTCAGAAACCACGGGTGATTTTTTATCTCTATTATACTTATTCTCTGCCGAAAAAAAACAAAAGAGGCCAGAAATGACTCAATGCTTTTGAGGCAACGTCTTGGAGCCAGCAGAGTGATAAGTAACTAACCCTAGAACATGCATTTAGTTTATATGTAAGTGGTGTGCTCAGTACCTTTTCAGGAGTGGCCACAAATATTCGTGATAGAAGATGTTTACATTCCATGGAAACTCGTACATGATCTGGGATTGAGTATTGGACACTGAGTATCCTCTGTAAAATGCCGCATTATGCATAATTGAATAACCATTATACAGAAAGCATAACCAAACATAAATTCAATCTCATTTCTATGTAGCTGGAATTTATGAAAAGGATTTATGAAGTTTGCAATTTATCATTTATCACTCACCCCAATGGTTTTTCTAAAGTTTCTTGGATCCTCCGGGTCTTCAAAGGGATAAGCGCCAACTAACATCACATATAAGGTGACTCCACAGGACCAAACATCTGCTATCTGCAGTTGTCAATGATTACACTTATGGTTAGCTCAGAAAAGAAAGAACAGAATGCAGCTATATGGATCGCCCTAAAATTCCCTCGAAATAGGAAGAAGCAAAGATCAAGGATAAGCAATAAGAAAGAGAAGGACTTCACCTTTCCGTCATACTCTTTTTTTGATAGGACCTCAGGTGCAATGTAGGCTGGAGTGCCTACGGTAGACTTAGGTTGTGAATGGAATACAGATGACTGAAAGATAAGGTAAAAACACGTTAACACATCGTTTGATGAAGGTGGAAACATCTAAAGTTCGTAATCGTTCTTAACTTTTCTACCTTTGAGTATCCAAAGTCACAAATTTTGACACGCGGTGCAGTACTGCCATCTAAGAGAGTATTTTCAAGCTTAAGATCTCTATGACAGATTTGCTGCAGCAGTAATCATTCCTTTAACTAAATATTTATGCACTGAAAACTAACTTGACTCGTTATAAAGGAATGCTTTAGTTCTTACCATGGAATGACAATAACTGACTCCAGATATCAATTGCTGAAAGAAAAACCTTGCCTGATAAAAAGAAACAAGTCCACCTTAAGAATTAAAGCTATAATATTTGTCAATGTGCATGTATATATATATATATATAGGATTAACAGAAACAATTCAGCATAGAAGGGTTTTGTTCACCTACGTTGGAAATGGACACTTTTCATACAAGATAAAATCCAATTACGTAAATGTCCTCACAAGGTCCCACATAAAGTTATCAAATAATGTTGTTCCCTTTCACATTACCTCATCCTCGCTAAATCTACCAGCGCTACATATCCTCTCAAAGAGTTCCCCTCCGGCTGCATACTCCATCACTATGGCAAGATGAGTTGGCGTTAGGAGGACCTGCAAGAAGAGTAATCAAAGCTCAGATAAATGATCCTAGTTTTGAAATCAGAGGGAGTGAAACATTTAGGAGGCATGTTTGCACCATTACCCAAAGGGGAAAAAAACCAAGACGACGACTATGACCACGAAACAGAAGAAAGGGGAAATATAATTTTAACATCCGAATCGCGACTTTACCAATCGTTAGAATAAGGAAATAGGGAACTAAATAGGAAAGTAGCCTATGTATCTCATGCTCATATAGCACCAAAAAGAGTTCTGCTCAAGAAAAACTGGCATTGGATATGTTAAATGAAAGAGATAGGCAATGAAGATGAACTACAGCTAAAAAGGGTTAGGATAAGCAAATATTTCCAATTCCGAGGCTTTCGTTCCACAACTCTGAGGTCACTAACCTCTTTGAATCTAACAATATTGGGATGCTTCAATGATCTATGGTTCATGATTTCCCTTTGCACATTTTCATCAATCTGCGTCACCAAAAATGACATGATCCTACTAACCAGATATCAGAATCATAAACAAAGAGAAACACCCGGTGAGATGAAGATTGAAAAGTCTGGAAGATGAAAAATCCAGATAGAAATTAAACGGGTGAAGAAGAAGAAGAAACAGACCTTGTGACCTCTCTCAATAAACTTGACAGCAAAGTACTCCTTCGTCCCCTTATCCCTAACGAGCTTAGCTACAGCGAAATTCCCAGACCCAATATCTCTGACAATCTCGTAACGCTCCATGTTTCGCCTGAAACGCAAGCCAACAAAATCTTCCTTCGATCACTCCAATTCTGAAGACTTCCGTGTTCAACAGATAATATTAATTCTTTTCCACTTCCGATAATGAAGAGAAGAGACCAGAAATTAGACAAGGAGTTTTGGCATTTCTGCAGAGTCTTTTCGCAGTTCACATTGACTGAAGCCGGTCTTTGACACTTGCACTGCTGTGATCATATTGACACGTGTTAAATAAGCCACACGGTGGATAGAAATGTCGGGAGAACCAACCGTTCGCGGTTGGAGAGGGCGAGAGTGGACTTTATCGTTATTCTTATTCTTACTATTATTATTACGAGACCACGGCAAAATTGTACCCCAAAAAAAAAAAAAACTATGATTTAGCCATGTATAGAATTCGAGATTCCTACGGTTAAGTGAGAGAATATCAAACGCCGTAGGATTAAGGCCCTGACTTGAATTTAAAAGAATTGAAATTGAGATTGGCCTTGGAGTAAGATTGGGAGTAGAAGTGAGATTTTAAATTTATATTTAGTATAGTGTAATAGTTATAGGAAATATTTTTTATTTTATTTTATAATTAAACATAAATTATAAAAAGACCATTATACCCTTTATAATTAATAAAATATAATTTCCCTAAAACCCATCATTCATCCTCCCTAAATTTAATTTGAAGGTGTAACATCTTAGAAAATTTAACTTAAAGATTATTAAATAATTAAAAATAAATTAGATAATTGAGAGTTAGCTTGAACAAAAAAATAATAATAATAGTAATGTATGAATGGTTAATGGATATGTCAAATCCTAATTAGGGTTCATAATTGGACCCTATGTGATATTGGATCATATTTGGGTTCAATTAGATTGATAGTATTCAAAATCTAAAATTTCAGCTAAAGATTTATTGGACGCAGCCAAAATTTAATTATTATTATTGATTAAATTAGTTGAAATTATTATAAAAACTTTACCTTAAGGTTAATTTATATTTTAGTTATGTGTTTAAATGTTAGAGGTATTACAGAAGACGATCAAATTCAAAGGCAAGAAAGTAAGTAGACATAAGGAGATGTAGTGGTAGAGGATGATAGAGGTAGACGAAAGGAGAAGGGTGGAATACAAAGGGAGAAGACTCGGACAAACTACACTAGCACTTTGCCACTCTCTCCCCCACGTTAATCACTTCTCTTCTACAGTGTTCAATTTCTTTCCAAACCTTAATTCGAGTTCGACGATCAACTACTCAAGGATTCGTGAAGTTCTAGATATTTGGGAAGATAGCATCGTAATTTGGGTTTTTAATCGTGTTAGTTACTTTGATTTGTTTTACCTACATTTTTTGTTGCAATTTTCACCCAAATTTATGGTCTGGTATGAACTTTTGTCTTCAATGGTTCATTAGATTTCTATCAGTTTTGTGCATTTTAGATTTGATGGGTTCTGATATAAAGAGAATTGTGTTTGTACGGTGCAAAATTTATAATTTTTAACATTCTTAGGTATTTCTAAGAGGAGGATGGGATTCAGAGGATGAATGATGCTCATACTATGTGATCGAGTGTGCAAGGGCCAAGCAGTGGCAAAGAAACAAGAACAAGAGAGAGGCAGGCAACAATGGAACCTAAGGCCAAGAAATAATAGAAGTAGGTGGTGGTTGATAAGAATGGGGGTAATTTGGTCTAAAAGAAAATCAATCCTATAATTAATTTCCCAATATCAAGGGATGGCGGTATTGGATAATCTCATATAGATGGTATTGGAATTGAGATTAAATTTCCTAATGCTCCATGCTAAACACAAAAAATTGATATTGACCACTACTAAGCCTAGTCCCATCCTTTCAATCCTTCATACTAAACAAGCCTTACAAGTATCACATGGTGAGCAATAGTGAATTTTTGAAACAGACCTATCCAAAATACAAGTCACTCTCACATAAATAAAATTTTTAATATTGCTTTTTCAAAACTTTTCCCATTTCAATTATAAAATATTTTTAAATAAAATATTATATATCAATAAATTTAATTAAATATGCTTAACAAATTTATTTTTTAAAAATAAAGATATGAACTTATAAAAGTATCATTCATTTAACATATCAAAAAAGAGATAAACAAAAATTTAAATAAAAAGACAAATGGCAGTATTGAAGTAATTGTGTCTAATGAAATTTTTATTCTCTCAAAATATCTTGTATTTTGTTAAAAACATTCTCTCAAAATATCTTGTATTTTGTTAAAAATATTCTCTCAAATGTATCTTGTGGTTTGATATAGAAAGAGTATTACATGTCTCATTATATTTTATTTTTAATATTTTTTATAAATAAAATATTAAATGAAAGATATTTTTGTTTTGAAGAAATTAAAGTTGTAAAATGTATTTAATAAATTTTATTAATATATGTAAGTTTATCTAAAAGTTTCCCATGTTATAATTCGCAACGGATGTGGTAATTTTTTTTTTGGGACACTTGTTATCATTTTTTGAAAAAAAAAAACGGGACACTTGTTACCATTTAACTTCATTGCTCTCAGCATAAAAAATTTAAATAATTAAAATTTTTAAATTATAAATAATATGATTGATGTTAAATTAATTTCACAGACATTTTCTAAAAAAATTATAAATATCCTTTTGGTCCTATTTATAAGGCAGAGAAAGAAAAAAATTTATTTCTATTTATAGAGCATTTATCAATTTTTAATGTTTCTCTTTACGTTACTGTCCTTATTAAATGCTTTAAATAAAAATATTAATAATGATATTTAAGATATTTATTAAGAGTAAAGGTGAAAACTTATTAAATTTTATGATGAAGTTAATAAGATTTAAATTTTTTATTGATTTTAGTAAAAAAAATATTAAAAATAATTTATAAATAAAAATAGAAAAAATGGAGTCTACACATGATGGCCGTGAGATTATCTGTAGAAGTGGTGTTGTTGTTGGCCAGGCAAATTTATACTAACGTCGCAGACTCATTGTTAAATCTCATCACTCATGTACCCCTGTTGATAAGATTACCAGAGCGAGCACCATTTAATTTTATGCTTCGATAGACTTCAAAATTTAAGGTTCCTTCATTTTAGTTTATTTTATAAAAAATAACTTATTTTTTTAAAAAAAGGTCTGATTTTTTATTATGTTTATTTAAAATTTTAAAAATAATTAAAAATATAAAAAATAAATTTTTAATTATTTTAAGAAGCTACTTTAAATAATTTATAAACATAATTTGATATGGTAGATGGAAAAAATATTTTAAGAAGATGTGATATGTGAAGATATTATAAAATTTTAAAATAATTAAATAAGAAATTATTTTTAAGAATAAAAAATAAAAAATATATCCAATGTAAATATAATCAACTAGTTATCACTTTTTTATCATTAAAAGTTTGTAATCAAACATAAAATAATATCTTATTTTTATAAAATTTTTACAAAATAATTTTTTTATAAAGTCTTTAAATCATCTAAAAATTATTTATTTTTTTTAACACACTCTCCTTTTCAAATTATAAGATATTTTAGACAAAATCTCACATACTAATAAACTTTATTAAATGCACTTAACAATCTTATTTTTTTAAAATAAAAATATAAACTTTTAAAAATACTCATCATTTAATATATTGAAAAGAGAATGGATATAAATTAATTATAGAGAGAGAAAGGGTAATATTAAAATTAGTATATTTAATAAAACTTTAATCTATCCAAACTGTCCTATATTTTGAGACAGAAAAACTCTTTCAAAAGTAACTTATAATTTAAAATAAAGAAAGTATTAAACAAACGTCTCCACAATCAAGCTTGTTCAAAAAATGGATGAAATATAATTGGGGATTGTTGGATTGGGATTGAGTTGCTGTAAGATTAAAAACTTGCAAATGAAAAAAGATACTTTCTCGTTAAAAAGTGTAAAGCATTTTTAAAAGAGTGATGTATTAAAAATATGTAAGACATTTTTAATTTTTTAAAATATAATTATTATATTTTTTTTAAATGTCTCTACTGATAATGACTTTATGTTTATTACAAAATGTTTAATAAAAGTAAATATGAAAAGATATGATTAATTTAAAAATAAATAATTATTTTATTAAAAGATAATATTTGATTAAAATATTTTATATTTTTATATTTTTTAATAGGTAGGGTAGATGAAAATTAATTAAAGAAGATAACTTTCCTCTGATCGAATAGACAGAGCATATAAATAGTGGACCAATCCCATGAAGGATTCAAATAGAAAAGATTCTCAAATATAACTCCCGTTGGATGATGAACGCGTGGCAGTGGTGCGACCGATCTTAGCGTTTTACGCACAAGAATTGCGTTGTATTTGAAATATACTTTTTTTCAAATTTAACAAATAGTTAAATTTTTAAATAAATTTTTGTTAAATGTAAATTAAAAATTAAACACATACTTCATTTGCTTCAAAATATTTATCTTTTATAATTTTCACATGCATTTAAAAAAATAAAATTAATGCATAGAAATGTAAATATTAGCTACATTATGAAATTATCGAAGTAAATAAGAGAATATTATAAAAAAATATTATTAGATACCATTTTAAAAGTCTATAATTGCATGCAATATGTTCATTTAAAATGACAAATATAATGAGATAGGAGGCGTAGAACATTAGCAGTGAACGAAAAAAGTGAAGAGCTGGGACCAGCAGATAATGACATTATATCTAAGTGTTGTATAAATTCTCTTATAAGTGAAGAGTTATGGATTCAATTCTACTTATAACCTCGAACCAATATACTTATCTATCTAATTCCCAAAAAAAAAAAAACATTTACACGTTGGAGTTGGAAATGTTAGTATATAATACAAAGTTTTAAAGCGGGGGTACAAGAAATCCTAAGGCGGCAGGCAGCAGCTATATTTGAATAATCTTTACCGTGGTAGGAGCCCCTTGATTAAGATGTAAAGCTTCTCAGTGAGCAGAGACAGCAAAACACTAAACATTGCCTTGCTCTGGAGGTGAAACTTTTGGGCTCCGTCATTACTAGGGTCAAACGCACAGACAGACAGTAGCTATTGACCAAATCACCTATCTGGTGGTGTTGGGCTTCTGCACTTGGGATCTACACATGCCTGAGCCTGAGAAGACTAACTAAACAAGTCACACCTAATTTGTGAAACCGCAGAGACAAATATCGCATTCGGCTGCAACGGGAGGTCCCAGATATGGCGCTCCTTTCACAATGAGGTCATCCGGCAGTGGCTTTTCCTCCAGCCAAGCATAACCTGTATGTACATATGCATATCACATATATGGCAGAAATTGGTTTTCGTTTAAAGAAATGATGAATAAGAGTAGAAGAGGTAGTACCAGGGAGGGAAGGGATGGGGAAGTCTGAGAAGTAAGTGGAAGGCCTTCCCAGGTCCTGAGAGTACGGGGGAGACAGCACGTCCAGGATGGCACAAGGCGTCAACGCTGTGAAACAGTGAATGTTGCCTCCACTTCTCGGAAACAGTACGGATGGCTCTTCTGCTGCTTCCATTATTCCGTCCACCACCTTGCTTGCCAATCCCCCTGCACCCACCCAGCTCTATTCCTCAGTCACATTCTTCAAATGTCACGCTTTCATACTAATTTTCGAACAAACACCCCGCTTCATTCTTCTTATCTTCAAATTTTTTACTCATCACTACAACTTGGCCACTCTTATTGCATTTTTTTCTGTTTTTCTTAAATCCCTGATTAATGATTGCAATTCATGACACGTGTTGTCATTAATGGATTATGTTTACTTACTGGACGGCCTATATGAACCACACAAGGGACAGGGGAAACGTCATGAAGTTGACAAATGAGATGAGACGCAAAGCTTGCTTGAGTAGAGAACAAGCTGGTTCATTAGGATCCGTCAGGACCCACAGAATTCAGAGTAAAACATCCAGCACATTAAAATTGAACTCACATGTTGGGCAGCCGCTGGCATCTAACTTGATCCAGTCATAGGCTTTGACGTGGACGGAACCATAGAGGACTTTGCTCAACACTGTCATTCCTGGATGATCGTGAAGCGGGAATACCTTTCCTGCTGGAAAACAGAACGCCCCCATCTGCACGTTCATCAAACTAAGTAAATCGCTGCTTCTAGTTCTCAATTACTATCATTCGCAGATATATACACTGGCCTCTAGTCAGTACTCACAGAGAAATGGTCGCATTCATGGATGTGAATGTATGTTATTTCCGAGAAAGCTTGCGCACAAAGCAATCCCCTGCTGCTGCCACTGTCTGGGCTTGAGATCGGAGAATCGCCCATCCCAAACTCATCAATTCCCACATCAATAGCTTCAATTCTGTCTGCAAATTGAAATTCATTCATCTCAAATTATCTACGTATGAACCCGGGAAAAACAGAAACAAAAGCACTTGACCGAAAAGGGTAAAAAAAAAAAAAACCCACCAAGGAGATTTTTCAGATACTGGATTTGCTGATAAGTTGTAAGTCCTTCCTGAGAAAATATAGCGCTGCAAGCATCATAAAGCACTTGAACTTTGCCCCTGTCCATTGTCCGTGTCTGACTTAGGAATAAGCAGTGAGACCGAAGGTTAGAAGATTCAGAGGCATGACTCGTGACTTTAAATGGAAAGAGAATGGACAACGGAAAACTTGGAATTGTGAGCGAAAGGAATAGACGAATCAAACCTGGGGCCTCATCTGACTATTATTATATTACAGTGGGCTTTTCCCCCTTTTTGGAGAAATTATCGTTTCAAAATTTCTTTCTTTCTTTCTTTCTTTTTTCTTTTCTTTTTTTTTTTTGAGCGCTTGTTTCAATATTTCTCAGTATATGGATAAGCCGGGGGCGACTGCTAGAAACAGTCAAACAAATTTTTTAACAGTTTATGCCCTCTGTTTATAAATAAAAATGGGCCGGGAGGGACTGTGACTGCGGAGTGCAGAATATTCCATAGGTATTCATTAAAATATACTAATAATGATAAGTAACGGATAACTGTGGCATGGAACCAGATTTATTTGGGAAAAACTGCAAGCATTAAGATACTAATAAACTCCTAAAAGGAGAACACGTGTAAGTTCATATTCCGTGTTCATGACGATATCAGCGTAATTATCCTACAGCAATATTAACAGATTTAAATTGCCAGGGGGCAGACGCAAGATAGTCGGTCCCCTGGTTCTAACCACAGCATGTTGATCTCAGTTTACGTCTTGCTGGAATATTATTCCAACTCTAAACAGTAACGGGTCTGGTATTTATGAATTATCAAATAAATGGTTTCTTTTAACTCTAAGGGGACTGATATTCGTAACATTTTCCTAATCATACAATATTGCTTCTTTTGGTATGATCTAGAGAAATGGTTTCTTTTCAATGTTATACGGATCCAAGGAAGCAATATCGTTCCGCAACTATCTCCTCTTATTATTGTTTATGCTTAGAAACACAGAAGAGACCATGTACGTAAACTAATTATTGTTAAATGCCAGAGAGGAAAGGGCTAGGGCATCTGATTCCCCCCGGGGGAAGAAAATAACTGTTCGATTCTATTTTTAAATCTATCGAGTAAAAAGAAAACGGCATTACCGTGTGCGTTAAAAGGCGGGACCCTAGGCAGTAAGGAAGCCACTAAAGAGGCAACACAGTGAAATTTAGTTAAACCGTGGCCTCGAAAGAAGCTTTTATTCCAAATCGATCAAAAAGTTGACCCCCATCCATGAGTATCGTGAGTCACAAGAGCTCGAAGCAGTGAACACTTTTCAGCTTCGCTGGGGCCTTGGAGGGACAGAGGATAGAGGGTGTTTCGTTCCACGAAAATTAAGGATTATGCCACCAACGTCTAACCTCTTGTATGGATGGATACAGTTGGATTTTTACAAGTACCTGCCGCAATTTTTTTTTTTTGGCTCCGAAAAAGGGCCTTAATGAATTTGTCTCGTCACATTGAAGTACTATGTTTTGTTTATGTTCAAAAATATGTGAATCTAAATTATCTAGCCTAAAAAATCCATTGCTCTTCTTTTTGCAGAAGAATTAAGCACTTCCTTTCATATATCACATGAATATAATAAAATCATTATATTGTCCATGACACACGAAGAATGCAATATATTATTGATTTTGTCATATATACTTATCATCTATAAATTGATTAGAAAAAAACATCTACTGTATTTATAGAGAGAGTCGCCCATTTTTAAACCAACCGGCAAAATAAACAATGAAATTACTTTCGACATGAGGAAAAGAAACAGAGTTGAAAAGTTTAAATAAAAACAATTTACACCATGTTGTCGTGTCAGAGATTAAATATGGCCTGTAAAAAATTACGGACTATATGTTACTTTTTTGGTCTAGGAATATATATATCGTATTCCTTTTTAAATAGACCCCAGCGGATGGAAATAATGATCCAAAAATAAAAGAGAAGGTCAATTGGAGTCGGATGGAATTTTTTATGGAATTTTTTAGTGGAATAAAAAAACGGAAAAAATATTAGAAGTCATATTTTCAGTGCCCCAAAAAAAAAGGATGAAAAAATGGACGCGCATAGTGCCTAGATTGAGAAAACGGTGAAGAACGACCAATCTATACCACCTGCTTTTTTTTTTTTTGAGAAAAATAATAATAAAAAAACCAATCTATAAGGCTTAGCGAGGACACATCAAGAGTTTTATATGCATGGAAATTTCAAATCACATAAGATATGGAGGTTAGATTTAATTCTACCATTTTTATTAAAAAAATGGTAATAATGGTAGAATTAATTCTGCCTTTTTTATTGGAAGGGGGACGATGAAATCGTAGGGAGGCAAAGCGAAAGTGGCTTGAAGTGATCAGAATCGAAGCAAAAAAGGGTGAGGGGGCTGATTTGCAAAAGTTTAGGTGGGTGTCTTTACTAATTGTCTGAAATTCCTAAATCTATAGATTCTGCTTGATGTCGTGATAAATGGAAGAGGTGAGCAAATTCGCGATTTACAAAATTGTCCCCTGCTTAAAAATTAAAGAAATAACATTGTTGAAATTACTATCATAAAATAAGGGTAATGTTAATCTCGATTGGAATACTAAAGAATGATGGATAATATGATTTATTTTTTAATATGAAACTAAAAATTATTTTTAAAATTTATTAAGGACACTTGTAAATATACAATAGTAGCTTGAGAAAATTTACTAAAATCACATCTAAATATGAACCAAGTCACTTATAATTTTTTATACTTACTAACGTATAAGTAGACCACTTATGGGGCATTTTAGACTATTCTTTTCAAAATTTTAAGTGAAGATCATGATTTATTATTAAAATTTTAATAATTTAAAATCTCTAATTATATAATTAATGATCTTAGAAGTTTTTAATTGTCATTTTTCCTTCGATTTGTCGTCAACTAATTCCTGTCCAAACAGATGGTGAAGTAATCAGCCATTCATGCATAAATATCGAAGGCTGAGTAAGTACATTGAAGTACCGTGAAATAAATGGAATTAAGGATTGTTTTTCTCGGGAAGTTGTGAATAAACCTCTCTATCCGCCTGGACGTGGTTTAGAATAGCAATTTGTGTGGGATTCGTTAACTTCATGTGCCTATAAACGTGCAATATGTTCATTGTAAAATCACCAAATCCAGCCACATATGAAACCATCATTATCAGACTCTACCATAATAATTTAAAAATAATTAATCCCAGATACCATATCACAATAGAAATGACTCAATTATAATTGAGAATAACTGATCATAGTAAAAAAAAAAAAAGTCTTAGTTTCCAGAGGCTATGGTGATTGATAAGATTTAATTTATAACATTAAAATCAAAATTCACAATCACTACCACAGTATAAAGAATTAAATCAATATTTTAGAAGAAGCTATAGCGAGAAAATATTCAGAGTAAAATCTTTTAGCAAAAGTGAGTAAAAATATGGAATCTCAAGTTTAGAAATTCATTCTTCTAAACAAAATACATACTAAATATCCACTATCTAAAGTTTGCAAATATTTAAAAGTATAAGATACAAATTACAAGTAGAAATACCTAAAAATAGGATTATAAGTCAAATTGTTAATAAATAGGGTTGTCCACCGTGAGCAAGATATGATGCACTGAAGCCAACATGTTGTGAATTAAGAATTATTTTTAAAAGGTGTTTCACAAATAAGACTATAGGGAGTGTTAGTTAATTATTCAAGTGTTAACTATCCAGCCTTATACTTCTTTTGTTAAAAAATATAAGATATTTTTAATTAAATTTTACCCTCAATAAAATAGTCACTTACCTTTCAACTAACCTTATTTTTTCATATTTATTTTTATTAAATACCTTACAATAAATATAAAGTAATTATCAATAGGAGTACTTTTGAAAAAAGGCAATGATTACACTTTAAAAGATTAAAAATACCTTATATTTTTTAACATCTAACTCCTCACAAAATGCTTTATATTTTTACACAGAGAGAATAATTTTTAACTAAAAATGATGATACACGACATGTTGTGTGTTAATTGTAAACTCAAATTTTGATTGAATGAACTGTTAATGAAATAAAGTTTTACCACATTTAAAATTATTATTATTATTATTTTCTCAAATCTTGCATTTTTATTCCTGGATGTAACCTTTATTTTTCACATGTATTTCTTTTATTTTAAATTATAAGATATTTTTAAATAAAATTTTACATGTTAATAAATCTCATCAAATATATTTAATAATTTTATTTTTTTAAAATTATAAATATAAATTTTTAAAAATACTATTAATTTAATATATTAAAAAGAAACAGGGGATAGAAATTAAATAGAAATAAATAACAATATTGAAATAAAATTATTTAATAAAATATTAATTTTTTTAAAATATTTTATATTTTAAAATATTGAATCTTCTTCAAAAAAAATTTATAATTTAGAACAAAGGAAGCGGTTAATTACAAATGATGTTTCAATCTGTTTTGTTTAGTACTCGGGTAACAGGATTTGAGTCTAGTTGTATATGTTGATTCATTGCTATAATGAAATTGCACTTATCTCAACAAAATTATCATGATATGCACAAAATTTTGATTCAAAATTATTATAAATTTTTAAATATAATGACTGATCTTTTTAAATATTTGTAGATTGAATACACTTCTTTCATTTTTATTTATAAAAAAATTATATCATACAATTTAAATAAATTATAATACCTTTTACTAATTATGTTAATTAAATTTTCATAAATTATTTTTTATAATTTTATATAAAATTATAAAAAATAATTTAAAAAATTTATAATAGATGTTTATTAAAAAAATATAATTTTATTTGTATAAAAAATAAATTAAAAATAATAATTTTTTTTATAAATAAAAAAGGGGAGGGAGTACGGGCTAAGCAAGCCTAGTTGCGAATTTTAAAGGTGGAACCAGGAACAATCAACACGGTCAAAGGAGTATGGAGAATCCTAAACCAAAAAGTGCCCAACCGCCAGTCACTCTGGCAGGCCCACGAGAGAGGTTGCATGTGAGATCCGAATTCACAACACCCTGGGACACACAATCAAAAAACTGTGTTTGACAGCTGTCCCAAATTATTAGTTATCAGTTAATCAATTCAGTGACACAACATATCTCAGCCCCTCAAAATAAATACAAGACTTGCTTTTTCCCTGGGATCCAACGGCCCAAGTTGCCTGTTCCAAAATCCCCCTCTTCCTGGCCCCGGACGCAATTAACGCACCATTTGGCCCTCAAAAACCACTCTTTCTTCTTCTCTCCTCCCTCTTTCTCTCTCTACCCCTCTCAAGTTCAACTCTCTATCCCTAACCAGATCAGATCTCATCCTCTCTGTGATCTGACCATGGCGGCCACTACCTCGCCTCGCGAAGAGAACGTCTACATGGCCAAGCTTGCCGAGCAGGCGGAGCGCTATGAAGAGATGGTCGAGTTCATGGAGAAAGTCTCCGCCGCCGTCGACAACGAAGAACTTACCGTCGAAGAGAGGAATCTCCTCTCCGTTGCCTACAAAAACGTCATCGGCGCCCGCCGTGCCTCCTGGCGTATCATTTCCTCCATCGAGCAAAAGGAGGAGAGCCGCGGAAACGAGGATCATGTCTCCATGATCCGTGATTACCGATCTAAGATCGAGACTGAGCTCTCCAACATCTGTGATGGGATCCTCAAGCTTCTTGATTCCCGTCTTATCCCCTCCGCTTCTTCCGGTGATTCCAAGGTCTTTTACCTCAAGATGAAGGGTGATTATCACAGGTACCTTGCTGAGTTCAAGACTGGATCCCAGCGCAAGGATGCTGCTGAGAGCACGCTCACTGCATACAAATCTGCTCAGGTTTCGTCTTAATTTATTCTCTAGCCATAAGCATCACTTTAGTTTTGTTGGCTGGCCTATCCATTTCCTGTAATTCTGTTATCGTGCTGTTCAGATCTCTCAGGGCAATGACGAGATTTGCTTTGTTCCTGTACTGTCATGCATCTCGTCTCATTTCACTACGTCAGTCCTTTCGGAAAGCTGAATTATGTTCGAATATCTGCACGGACCGCTTCTTTTGAACGTGATATAGGATACTGGCATCTGTGCATGTTTGTTATGTTCGTAATGGTTATTTTGTTTTTTTTACGGGTTTTTAGACTTTCAGATTCGCATCATTTGGTCAGTTTTTCCTTAAATTTTACCAATTTATTTTTTGCTTATACCCAGCGTGTATTATAGAGTTGTTATCAAACCTTATTGAGAAATAGGGTCGTTTGCCTTTAATTATAAGAATTGATCTGTGCAATTCTCTTTTTCTTGGGAAATATTGTGACTGCGACTTCCTTCTTTGAAGCATGCGTCTCTTTCACATGTAAATTCCCCATGCGTGTTGTCTGAGATATATAGTTTTATGCAATATGCAGGACATTGCAAATGCCGAACTGCCTCCCACCCATCCAATTAGGCTTGGCCTTGCGCTGAACTTTTCTGTGTTCTACTACGAGATTTTGAACTCCCCAGATCGGGCTTGCAATCTTGCCAAACAGGTTGAAGATAGAGACACTAAACATCCCCTTGTGTTTTTATGTCTTGAAGTGTTCTGCCATTTGAATTGGATTCTCTGATGTTTGCCAGAGGGAAAAGCAACGTAATAAGCTGCATGCTAAAATGATGGAACATATCATGAATTTGAATTTGGAAGACCTTCATTATCACACCATATTACATTACATTTTTTTAAACATATGATGAATTTGAAATTGGAAGACCTTTCATTGTAGTAACTAGTAAATGTTGAAGTAATGTTGCTTTCAGGTTCTGGTAACTAAATAGGGAACTTTGTTTTTCTTTCACCTTTTCTTTTATCCCCCCCAACCAAAAAAAAAAAAAAAAAATAGCTTCATTCTTCTCTGGGATTGTGAAGTGCTCTTATAGAAAGCTGCGAGTGATTCATTATGGTATGAGTTCTTCTGTTCTTATGCTACATCTGATACTTATGAATCTTCGTCACATGGATAATCACCAGGCTTTTGACGAAGCCATTGCTGAATTGGATACTTTGGGAGAGGAGTCATACAAGGATAGCACTTTGATCATGCAACTTCTTCGTGACAACCTTACCCTGTGGACCTCCGACATGCAGGTATCGACTAAGGGACTTGCCTGACAGTCGTGTCTCAGCGTGGCTTCATTAGCTTAATTTTTATTGATCTTTGTACTTTGCTATGCTTTCAGGATGATGGTGCTGATGAAATTAAAGAAGCAGCACCTAAACAAGATGAAGAAGCTAAGTGAACTTATTTTACTTTTAATTAGGATTGAACTTCTCCTCTATATGTTTTAAAAGGGAGAAGATGCTTGTTTCTAATCTCGATGCTACTGAGATTTTAGGCATTCATGTCTTTGTTATGAATTATGGATGTACTGGGCCCTTTTAGTTTGTCCTTCCATTTTTACGTGTTTCTGAATTTGCCTATTCTATTGAGGACATGGAAGTTTTTCGTATATGCAATTGGAATTTTAAGATTATATTCTCTCTAGTGTACTATTTATCTTAGATTTTTCAGCCAAGACTGTTATTTGGATCTGTATGCTGTCTCATTATATTCTCAGCGCTTGTGTTGCATCTCTCTCTCTCTCCCCGGCACCTCGGCTATTTTTTATTACCATTTTCAATGGCCATTTTCAAGCTTTTAGAAAATCGGTTGAGATGGTTTGGGCATGTACAAAGAAGACCAAGGGAGGCACCAGTGAGAAGAGTGGAACATATAACTTTGAGTCCGATTAAGAGAGGTAGAGGAAGGCCTAAGAGAACACTCTTGGAAGTTGTTGAACGTGATCTCTTAATTAATAATATTTCTAAAAGCTTAATAAATGATAGAGCACAATGGCGTCTTGCAATCCATGTAGCCGACCCCACCTAGTGGGATAAAGGCTTGTTGTTGTTGTTGTTGTTGTTGTTTTTCAATGGCCGTTTTCGTAATTGCATGTGTTTAATTACAGGATTTAAGACTTAGTAATCCACCGATTGAACGGTTGTCTCTTCGAAACGGAACTATTTTGTTTTCTTTATGGGAGGAAAATTTCTGATGAAATCGTTTCTAGATTCTTACCCATTTTGTTTGACATTGGTTTTAAGATTCAAATTAACGGGTAGTCGTGTGCTTTCCAATCCCTTGAATCCACACAAATGTTGAGAAAGTTCGTTTCTTTTAGGACAAAAGAATTCTTCTCTCCACGAACTTTCTTTTGGGAGGATCGGCGGCAAAAAATTCTCAAACTCGGTTCCTCTTTCTTCTCTTTTTGTACTTTGTACTCCGTCTACGATTGACACGCTGCGTGACACTCTGCATCCTCATGCTCAACAGATTGGCTTCTTCCACTTATAGCATCGGTCTTGAGCTCCGAGAGTTGTTTCACATTCGCGAGCCGATTTGAATTGTCATGGGAAACGACAACCTTGCCGAATGGAATATATCGACTGGAGATTCTTCCATGTTTGGCAGCAAGGTGGATGCCTCAAATTTACTACTACTGCATTCCGAAAAGCATAAAAAAAGGTTCCATTTTACGGTCTCATTGTGGCTCCATTTGATGAGATATTAGAATGGTTTAGAATCATTATGCTTATTAAGTATATAATATATATTTTAACCAATCAAGTTGCATAGTCAAACAGCTCGTCCTTGTGTCTGTAGTGTCCAAGAAAAGAAGTCGTGGTTTTCCAGAAAATGGAGAACTGCTATCTCCAACCAGTGCTAGACTGCGAGGAGGCAACAACAGCACTGGGCATCAAGAAAGAATGTGAATAATTTTCTTGTGCTGCCAACGCAGAAATGGCAAAAAGTCAATAAGAGACCGTCATCGGTGAGTTCTGCAAGCTGAAAATTACCGAGGGAACCACACCTCAAGCTAATGGCCTATTGTTCAAAATTATAATTTTTGAAAAAATTTATCCAACCATCCCAAACTTTTTCAAATTATATTTGGATCCTGAAATTTCACTTTGTAGAAGCTAACTAAGTATTTCCAATTTTCTCAAATTCTAATTGATTCCTGAAACTCCATTTTGCATGCACTAATTTTTCTTCAATTGGATAAGTCCACTTTGCAAAATCAATTTTAAAAATATTGTCTAAATATTATCCTGTTTTATTAATCAATTTTCTCTAAAATTCAAACACATACTAACAAAATGTCGGGTTCTTACTTGTATTCTTGTCAATCAGTATCCATTATAATTAGACTTTTTTTTTTTAACTTTGCACAAAAAATACTTTATTACAAGTTGAATTATTCATAAATTATATACAGTTTAAGCAATGATACCTGATTGTATATAATTTATGAATAATTCAACTTGTAATAAAGTATTTTTAAAGATAACAATTAATAGAAATAAATTGAAAAATAAATTTCTTTTTCAACAATATCAATAATTTTCCTTTTATTTTGGATTAGGTAATTGTAAGTGATTTATAAAATACTTGTAAAGTTGCATTTGAATGGATGAATTTGATTAAAAATTTAAATTTAAAATCTCACATCAGAATTTTATAGATTCTAATTTTTTTAGGATGATATAAAAAATTAAAAAAATGACAATAAAATTTTTTTAAAATATATAGATGATAATTTGATTCTCGAAATGTTATAATTCTCCTAAAGTTTTTAGAAACTTTTTCATTATTAATAAATTTATATAAATTATTAAATTATCCTTGTTATAAATAAACAATTCATAAGTTTTATTGAAATATTTACAAATTTTTTTCTTATATTGGTAACAAAACAACAACAAATTACAATTTACTATTGTATTATTGTGAATATAAAAAAATTATAAATATTTAAATAAAATTTGTGAATTATTTATTTTTAACAAGGATATTTTAATAATTTATATAAATTGGCATAAAAGTTTTGAAGAGCTTTAAGAAAATTATTGCATTTTGAAGAATCAAATTATCATTTATATATTTTAAAAAAAAATTATTGTCATTTTTTCTAAAAAATTTGAATTATAATGTTAAAATATTTTGTTTGAATTTTAAGTAAAATTTTAAATTTTAAGTTTTAAATTTACGTTTGATCTGAATTTAAATGCAACTTGGATGTCAGCGATTCAATCTCAACCAGACATTGGTGCCATTTGGGACAGGACAGTTGGTGCCAAATGGGACAAGGCCACCTACACTGATCAAAATTAGACTGTCAACTTCAACCAAATCAAATCATAGATGTTGATTAAGATAGAATGATCAACTTTCACTAAGACTAAACCAAAGACACTAATCAAGACTAAATCGCCAATGCAATCCGAACCAAATGGCCACCTTTTATCAAGATTGAATGGCAAACTCAATCAAGACTGGGTGATCGAACATGAAGAATGAGAGAAACTTAAATAGAAAATTGAAATAATAAAAATTTAAAAAAGATTTTAAATTATAAAGAATCTAAAGGTAAGATTAAGATTTGGATCAAATACAAAACTACAAATTTTTAAATACCCAAACTAAATAATAAATTTAATTCAAACTTAAATCCATATCCAATCATAAGAATATTTCATTATTTCGTAACTGGGTACCGGTTGGCATGTGAACACCATCTTTGTAGGATCGGAAGGGCACTGAATTGAGAGGCATTCCATAAACAGAAAAACATCAAGCAACATTTTGCCAGAATCTCCCTGCAGTCATATCGTCGTCATTTCTAGTCCGGTTCGCTGCCTTCCAAAAGAGAACTTGATTGCGATAAAAACAGAATCCTCTGTGAGAGTGTTCCATGATCACCGATCTAAAAGCTGCTCTTATTAACAATAATTGCCCACCAGAATCAATTGGATACGCCAATTTTTTTTTTTCAAATTGACTAAATTTCACAAGTTTAAACCAGTTCTATTGCTAAATATCATTTGGCTTTGCATATTTTCACACGTTTAGTTGTATCGCCCCTCACAACCAAAGAGCACAACAACATTTACACGTAATAGGAGCGATATCAGAATAAGAAAAGAACATTACGGCCAGAAAAATCTTCAAACTGAGAGCAGCAGCATCCCATTATAATCGCAATTGCTATAGCTTCGAATATTTCTCATGGCCCGGTAGTCCGGTAGACCAAAGCAGCAAAAACAAATGCAAAAAATGTTCCCATCTCTTGTCTTGGATATCCATTTACAGAATAAAACTAATAAGTAGTGAAGGGACTAGCATCGTCATCAGTCCAACCACCGCAAATTAAAATGAACCTGATTCCCTCTGCCTAAAACAATGTACAAAACCTGCAAACCAAGTCCTAAGCGTGGAACAAACAACATTCGACTCAGATTTACCTGAACCAGTTCAAAGACCTCTCCACCTTGGGCTTGGAACGGGCATTGTTGGCGAGAGGGGCAGCTGAGGAAACACCAGTTGACCCGAGGAAGGCGAAACCAGAAAACTTGGGGAAAGTGAAGGGTACGGCGACCTCGGCGAATTCAAGCATCCAAGAGGAGGTGGAGCAGACAGTATCTGAAACTGCGGTTGCGCCTGTGCATTTGATGATGTTTGTGAAGGAATCACGCCTTGCTGCATCGGCGTGTCCTGCGATTGAGGCTCTGGCCGAGGCTGTTGCGGAGCCAAATTGTTCCAGCGAGGTGAGACTAAAGGAGCTAAGGGAGGAAAACCCGAGAGGTGCTTGGAATTCCAATCCGTGGTGGACGTGGAATTCTGGAGATAGCGCATATACGCGGATACAGGAGATTCTGCGTGGACGGACGGAAAAGGTGGCAGAGGAGATGAAGGCGGGAGCGGTCTCACAAAGTCAGAGAAACTAGTGGCAGAACAAGTATTAACGGGGTTGCTAGTAGCAGCCGAAGCGGCGTTAACCGGCCGGGGAATACCGCCGCTTAGCAACGGAGGCGGGCGATTGCTAATCTGCGAGAGGGGAGGAGGGCGTATCCGCTGGAGGCGAGAGCTAGCGGGCTTGGGTTGGTGAATAGGAGGCGGAGTGGAGATGTGTTCGTGAGCAGGTGATCCCGTGAGCTTCTGGACTACATCTCTGAAATCGTTCTTGTTGATGTTGTAGACGGGAGGCTGGTGCTGCAAATTTTGCTGTGGCGCTTGCGCCTGAGCCACCGGTTGGGGCTGACAGTGATCGACCCTGCGGGCTTGGGGCTCTGTCGAAGAAGAATCGAAGGAGGGTTTTCTAAGAGAGGGCTTGGAGATCTTGTGAGACAGCTTGCTGAGCTGCCTGAGATTATTAGAGGTGATGGTGCCGTCGCTACTACTGGCCGTGGTAGTCGTAGAAGATTGGCAGCTTTTGTCCATCACTACACTAAACAAAAACACTCTTTTTTCTCTCTCTGGATCTAAAATCTCTAATCTCTCCCCGGGCATGGCAGAGCTATGCAGGTGGGTTTGATGTGGTGGCCTTCCCCTCATCGCAAACTGTGAGTAGGGACAGAGATGACTACATAGAAAATTACTTAGCTTTTTATGTTCAAGGACATATGGTCAAGTTCCAAGACTAACATGTTTTTTCCTCAAGTATTCCCGAGGTCTACCTCAGGAGGGTGCGATGATGGTGGGGGGAAAAAAAAGAAAGAAAAAAAGAAAAGAAAAACAAAAGGGGCACATGTCTGTTTCTTTATGCTGCTTGTGCTCTGCCTCTGGTTGTCTTTCCCTTTCACTGCTTTTAATATCTTATAATGTTTTGGGGCTTAAAAGAAGGCTGAGGGACACGAAGCGCAAAAGAAGGGAGGCCGTAAGAGATCTATACATAGATCATCTCTCTGAGGCTTCTTCAGACTCCGTGTCCATCATGAATGGAGCTTATAAATTATAATAGGGTTTTACTACTTCACTGCTCCATTAATTAGACGTTCGTCAGTTCCCGCAGTGTGCAAGGGTCGGTGGGATTGGGTTCTTTTAGGATGAGGAAAGAGAAACTTTGGTGGGGCCGATTCACGCGTCGAGTTAAAAACTCGGCGATGACTGGTCAAACTTGAAGCACGAGACGAGATGCCTTGGCTGTTATTGGCTTGGCCGCGGAATCTTAAATCATGTCCCTTCAACCCGAAAATGATTGCCGCCCGGAGACTCTCGTTCTCTCCATTACCCTCAAAATTGGAATAGATAAATTTTTGTACGTGCCTGTTTGAATACGCTAGATCAATCGCTTCTGCCCCTTAAAACAAGATTTAAATATATATATATATATATATATCCAAACATTTTTTTTTAATTTTATTTTTGAAGAAATCGTTTCTGCACCTACAATGCTTTTTCTGAAATAAGCTCATTTTACCAGCTTTTCATTATTGATTATCCCGATTGAACCCATTATTATTTCTCTTGATTTTAACTTCTCAAATATACCCTTAACTGTGTAGCTTGCAGATTCAAAACCTCCAATCCTCCATCATCTTCTTCCTTTAAACCTCGAACTCTGAATAGTTGCAGATCTTTCCTTCAACAGCGAGTGTCCAAGTTTGACCTCACTCTCCAATTTGCCGTGGCTACTGTTTGTAATTTCCAACATCCTCCTCCTTAAGTTGCGATGTCTTCTTGTTTATTTTGGTATGCTCTTATTCGTTTTTTGCAAAAGCCTCTTATTGTCTCTTCTTTATAGTCTTCTCCCTCACCCATTCTCTTGCTACGAGCTCCTCTCCTTGGATATGTATTGAATTGACGCGCATGTCATCCTCTTCCTATCAAAAGTAATAGTTCCATTTCGAAATGAGTATTAGAGAAAGAAAACAAAGATAAACCCTTCTTTTCCCATTCTTGTTGAATTATATTTTTATCTTTTATTAATTATTTTAACTCATACACATTAATTTATTTTTTAATTGATTAAATTATTAATATTATAATTTATAATATGATTTAAATTATAGAAGTTAAATAATATATTTTACTTGTTAAATAAAGTTCAACAAATTTAATAACATTATATATAAAAACAACTTTATTAATATTTACACTTGTAAAAGTAATGTCCTGTATAATAATTTACATGCTTAAAATTGATCTTAACTAATCACCTAAATATTTTTAATTATATCAAAATTAATTTTATAAAAATAATATCTAAATACAATTATGTTGTGATACAATTAATTATATTTAAATTTACCAATCCTAATTTCCTATTTTCAAGATATTTAAATTAAAAAAAATAGAAAACAAGCGGCACCTACAAAAGAGAAAAAGACGTTTTAGAGAGGAGAAACGCAAATCTCCTAACTCTCTCTCTCTCTCTCTCTCTCTCTCTCTCTCTCTCTCTCTCTCTCTCTCTCTCTCGATAATATGTACATTTTACTATCCATCCATTCACTCTTCTTCTCCGTCGACAGTGAACTTGACATTTCTGATCCACAAAAAAATTTGAAACTTTTCTGTAGTTATCATTTGGCCAATTTTTGCTGTCATATATAGCTCTCAAGTAAGAAATTAATCATTTATAAGTTTCATCTACTTGTAAGTACTAGAAATATGCATGTAAATGTACAAATTTAACTTGTAAATAGAAGAAATGATTAATTTTTCTTATTTGATTCTTGAATGCAATTCTCCCAAAATCACACAGGGTGACTAAAAATGAATATATATATACTACTTCTATTAAAAAATATAAGATATTTTTAATTAAATTTTATCCCCTACTAAAATAGTTATTTATTTTTAAATTAATTCTATCATTTTATATTTACCCCTATTAAATATAAAATTATTTATCAATAGAGGCACTTAAAAAAAAGGTAATAATTACACCTTAAAAAGCTAAAAATGTATTAATATTTTTTAATATTCAACTCTTTTAAAAATATTTTATATTTTTAAATAAAATGAGTATATATTAACGACATGTCAAGCATTTTTCATGCAATTGATGGCGTAAGGTTTTCCCTGACCCCAGTCCAAATCTCCCAATATTGGTAAAGCATATTTGTCCTGAGAGTTTAATTTTATGCCTTGAACCAAAACCGATGTATTAACATCTGGCATGTCAATTCTTGGTAAAAAAATACAATAAAAACACGCATTCTTATAGTTTTCTTTATAAATAACTTCTAACATATTGTACTATAAATAAAAAAATTCTTAAACATTCATTAACTTCATCTATAAATTTAATAAATTCTTAACTTTTTTCATATATATATATATACTTTAATAATATATTTTATCTTACTAGTATTTAATGGAGGAAGAAAGGTAAAAGAAAATCTATAATAAAAATTTAATAATATAGCTCATAAATAGGGAAAAAAACTCCCCTTGTGCTATATAAATGAGACAAGAGGCGATATATTAATATTTGATTACCAGCATCGCAGTCGATAGATTTTAGCTTTTAGTTTATGATATGCTTGGACAAAAAGTGGTTTGCTGGGGCCAAAAAGGGTAATTGGTTGAAGCCCAATTCGATCTGATGATGAACTTAACCCAACAGCAAATTGGCCTCATAACTGTAAATGAAATGTTGTGTTTTGGAAGCTAATGACGGAGCCTTGCCCACTCTGCCTAGTGCTTGAGTTTCCTGACGAACTCACCCTCACCACTTTGCACGACGAGAGACGCCCATGATGATTTAATGGCGCAGGCAGTTATTTGCTCCTTCTAACGCTGAAACCCAAATTCAAAATAGCATACCGTTGCCATTTTCTTAATAAATAAGCAATGAGCGTGTGACAAAAGGTGTCTCGATATTTCGCTAAAACTTACCAATACTTGCCAAGCCCAAATACACAAACTCTGACCTTACGCCTACCAACTTCGCTCAGTGCGAATCACTTCACCTATGCAAGCTCAACTTCTTAAATTAGTTTGTATTCCTCTTTTTTCTTTTGTCTCCACAAAGTACTTGTTGTATTAACACACTAGTAATACAATCAAGTTTCATGCACCACCCGACATATTTGTAGTTTTTCACATTCACTTGGCACTCCAAAAAAATTAAGGTAAAAGATCTTGAGAATTCATATGATCAACTGATCTAACTTACACTTTTAAGAACACATTTTTATAACACGCTTGACTCATTTTTAAGGGGCATGATGCTTTGACCCATTTTTCAAAAGTTGAGTTAATGATTATATTGTGACAAGTCATGAAAAGGCAATTTATTTGTACTAGTAAAAATAAAATAAAATAACGGTTGATCACACAAGATGTTGGTCACCGCGTAAATAATTATTACTGTTTAATACAAAGTCTCAAGTTCTTGTAAAAGCAGAAAATATTTTTTTCCCCAAATAACAACTTCCTAATATGTTCAGCATTGCTTGAATCTAATCTAGTCAGTTGTTATTTATGAAAAAAATGGCTGACATGAAAAAATGTGTCGTGTACCACCCGCATAAGTTTGTATATGGAACGCCATATAGTATGACATGCAGCAGGGTACACTGATATGTACGTATGCATGTATATTGACCAAATTAACTTGTCAAGAGAAAAGGCAGTATTAAATATCTAAGGAAATTATAGTATGGGTGTTAAAAAAGACTGCTCGCATGAATAAAATGTTTAAAACAACTTATGAATACATTCTCGTTCGTTATTCTTGACGGAAAAACATTATCGGGCCAAAATGTAATTTAGAAGAAGCGTTGTGTCATTACAGACTCAAACTCTAAATGTCAGGTGCCCTGGGCCTCACCCTCATTTCAATCACCATTTATTACACTGTTTTCTCCCTTTGACCACAGCTTCTTGTTCTGCCTTCCAAGATTAGAGTACGGGGGAAATACACGAATAATTACCTAAAGGTGCCAGAAAATTCCAATAAAATCCGTTACTCGTCACTATCTCTTCTCCACGGGAGTTCATCCTCATTTTTTGTGTTTCAAAAGTCACGGCTCGTGATTTTTGATTTGATTAATTATCTCGCACCAAAAATCATGCTAAGAAACAAATTTCCCATTTGCTTAGGGCTCATTTGGATATCCGTTAGAAACAATTAATTATGAAAAATTTTGATTAGTACGACTGATCCTAAGTATAATTGATTATATTAAGTGGTATATAATTGACTTGTAAAATTGATTACTAAAATTAACTTTAATCGGAGCTGAAAAGTAGAATTGAAAATAAGATAAAATCATGGTTTGTTAAAAATATATCCAAGCACTCTTATTGTATGTTAAAATTAATGATAAATTCAAAATCGTGTTTTCCTAATTAAAAACATTCAAATACCCACAAGTCATGTTAGAATTAATTATGAATTTTCAAAATCACTATTATTTCATAAGTTATTGTTACTTGTTTTTCAATTCATATTTTTAATTGTATTTTTCTAAAAAATTATCTAAAAATCATATAAACTATTTTACATATTATGTTTTTGAATTTATAATTGATTTTGATATGTATAGAGATATCTGGATTTTTTAAAAAATGAAATAATTTTAAATTTATAATTAATTTTTTCATGCATAATAAATGTTTGTATATTTTTTAAAAAAACCATGGTTTTTAGTTTACACTTGATTTTGATATGTAAGAGAGGTTTTTGGACATATTTTCATAAAATTATGGTTTTAGTCTTTAGAATTGATTAATGTGGTTATCCAAATATGCACTCACTCTAAAGCCATGATATCTAAAAACGTGTTTGGCTGTTTTTGTCAAACCAGGTCGCCACATCGCGCAGACGTGAAATATGATTTTTTTTTTCCAGTAATAATAAAAACCATCACTGACGTGAAATACGCTAAAAATATTAAAATTTAAAGAAAAAGAACAACATGAAATTTACTTTGTCTTTTTTAATTTATATCTTAATGGGTGAAAGGTTTTTTTTTTTTTCCCCTAACACCCAATACTTTACGTTTTGAAGTAAGGAAATTTAAAAAGTTGTTTGGTTGGAGGAGAGGAG